CATCAAAGTAATTTTCACTTATATCGACACTCTTAAAAAAACTTTCTTGTCATAAACTTCTTTACTTCGATGCAAGGGTGAGCTGAAACGAAGACATTCAATATAATTTGAAATTTATAAAAGTAATATAATTCAAACAAATAATATAATAAGATAAAATTGATATATGACAGAATTGTTAGTACTTACATTGAATTAAGATTGTCTCATGCGTCGAAATTAGCTTTATAAAATTCGTTGAAAATACCACCACTTTAAAATTGAATAGAAGCCTTACTTATATTACGACATCGCGTTGTATAGTTCGATTTTCGAAAAATAACAATCATATAATTCACCTAATAGTTATATAGACTTACCTCTACGCCTTTGTTAGTGAAAACAAACCGAATCACAGTTAATAAGAACAAAGACACACTTAAGCCCTAAATTAAAAAATATAGACACCTCCACTGACGTTGAAGGTTGAGCAGCGATAAATCAATCGAGCTGTAATTCTAGACTCCCGATAGGCGTCCTAGTGCATGCGCAATGATGCATCTAGGTTAATACCGCGAAATTTTGAATGCAGAATATTTGGTTATAAAAACCGTAAATCTACAAATGTTAGTAAAATCTAGTTTAAATATTATCTGTAGTCGCGAGTGCTACTCATTTAAATAAAACTCTATTAACGGTTTAAACTCGAATTATATTACCACCACGACGGACCATGGGTACTTGAAACCGTTCAAAATGTCGGGCCGTGATTTAAATAAATGTTTTATTCAAACTAGCATTGAAGCTCAATTTATATATTATATCAAATTTTTATTTTTACGTGATCAATTGGTGTTTATATATTTTCACAGTTATAAACCGTTTCAAAAGTGTTTCATTTGATTCATACTACTATGTAAATTACAAATTGTAAATTAGAGATTGTTTACTGTGTTGTTTCGGATGAAGCTTATTTTTAAACGCTTTTTTTATATAAAAATTGCGTCGTTTTATTACTTAAATGACATTTAAAGTCAATTAAAATTGAAAGGGGCGTTCTAAAAATACTGAGGGTAACACAGTTTACCTGTTGCTAGGAGTACAGGCTGGCGGGTACATTTCATTGTCAAGTCCAATTTAAATCAATACAAGTTGGCATGGCAACCACTTGTTATCCCTAAGTTACCTATCCTGTTTGGACATGCGCAGATATGTCGAAAGAAATGAAAGGTCAAGTATATTATATTAAGGTTAAATATATTTGTAATCGATCATTCGAGAAACGCCATCTTATGATCTTAATACAATTATAAATAAAGACCATTATAGCGCCATTATATAATTTATATTATTATGTATTACAAGTAACGATAATTAAGAATCATAACAAACATTTTTTATTTCATGAATATCTCAAAAAAAAATCTCGAACAACTTCGATGCGCTGTTGATATTTTGCGGAAGACATGCTGAAAAAATAATTAAACCATACTATTAATTAACAAAATTATTTGGTACAACAATTAAAACAATTATATGTAATTATGTAAGTAACTTACCTTGTAGATAAAAACAAACTCACTTCTTCGGAACTGGTGTAATATAATTCAAATGAAAATATAACACTTTTTATATCTTTATCGATTTCGAATAAATATTATACTGAAAGTATTTAGCGTAGACGCAAAACAATGTAATTTTCCGCTGTCTAAGTATCCACTACATAATATAGCAATTATTTTTTGTTATTGCTTAATTGTTCAAGTACTTACCCTTCTATTGTCAAGTTGAATGTACCACCATAAATATAAATAAATGAAATCACACACACGATAAAACACTAGTGATAACGGAAGTTGAAAAAATACAAGTTAAAATAGAATTTTTAATTGAGCCGAAAAATCAAAGGACTTCCGTCGTCGTCCGAAACTTAGGAGAGATAAAATCAATCCAGCCCGATTTAATAGATGAATCTAGGACACCGAAATGCGTTCTAGTGCATGCGCGGTAGTGCATCTAGGTTTTACCGCGTAATTCGAATACAGGTAACCTGTTGTCAAAATATACAGTCTTGACCCCCTAAAAAGCAAATAAAAAAAGCGTAGTTTACGCGTGTAGTACACATTTAATTAAAATACTTTAACGGTTTAAAACGCGATATATTTTAGTTAAACTTCTTTGAAAATTATTTTTAACTAGGGCGCGGCGTTTCGGATGCTTTGCAGCAGCCGTGGTCACGGGGAGACTCAACGAACAAGGTTCAAACAAGTACTTTGCTTTATCAATATATGGGTTGCAATGCATGTACTGAAATGATTGTAAAAAAATGTCGGTTATTATTTCAATTAAAAATCTATTTACACGAGCGAGTCTTGAGCCAGTATCCACAGCTTGCCGTGCTGGTCTAACCAATTGAGCTACCGTAGCCTACACGTTATTGTCGAGTTTTTTCAACACATCGATACATGCACATGTCGCAGTGATTATTGTTAAAGATATTATTTATACTTATATTATAAAGCTGAAGAGTTTATTAGAACGCGCTACTCCCAAAAATCTTCTCCTTTGCAAGATTGGCAAAAACAAATTTAGACGCCCAAAATAACTATTCTAAGAGGACGATGTCGCTGGCACAGGTATTATATAATAAATCTAGGAGATTTTTTTTTAAATAAGCAAAGCTTCGCTCCGTTTTTCGGCAAAGAACGACCCACTAGATGAATTGAAAAAGAGCGAGCTGCATCTGCAGCTTTATCTAAGACTGAACTGGACACTTACAGGACATTTTCTCATCTCTAACACGACCAGCAAAGATGGCGACTATCAATAGAAAGACTGACCTAGTAATAATATAATTCAAGTGATCGTCCCTTCACACGATACAAGAAAACCTATCAACTCCTTACTATTTTCACCTGGTGCAATAACAAAAACAATAATTTCCTCTAACAAATAAATGCTCGAAAATTTGAGCATAACTTTGACAATCTTCTTCAAGAATAATCTAACTTGCTGTACTGGTCGAGCATCAGCCGGCAATATTTGTGTAAGAATCCATGTGTCGTGTTTAGCGACCAAAAAGTTTGCTACGTAAAATTTTTTTGTCGCGTAATAAAAAAATTGAGCGAACTTCTGCAACACAACATGTCGACCAAAGAGGTAACTTATCAAAGGTTTTATTTAAAATTCGAGCTGGCTTGTATATACACGCTGTTTAGTAAAAAATAGTTTGACGCGTAAGAAATAGTTTTGCGCGGCAAACGCGCGTTAGTTATTAGATAAATTATTCAATTGTACTACTTTTAATTTCCATGCGTTACAAGTACAATACAAGTCTTGGCAACCAAGCCTCTCTTATTGGCCGCTGCATAATACCAGAAAAAGCAGCAACCTTTTGACTAAAGAATAAGTTTAGAAGTACATCCTACTTCACTTCTTCAAATAATTCAATAGATATAATTTAGTGGAAGTATTAGTGTATATATAAATAAGACTATTATATAACTTTGATAAACATCGTATTAATTACTAAAAGCTTTTATCCTTCACATTATAATAACCACAGTACCTCGCTTCTTAGTTTATTGGTATCGCGCATAAATTCAAGCCAAATAGCACATGGCAATATATTATCTGTATACCAAATCAAACAACTAAATGTAGCAGAGCAATTCGCAAACACTCACTTTGGGGGGCAAAGCTGTTTTATCTCTACTTGAGAGAGAGGGGAGAAAGAGAGAAGAGGACAGAGATAGAGGAGCGGAAGAGCGAGATAGGAGGGTGAGAGGGTAAAGAGAGGTGACAGGAGGGCAGGAGAGATAAAGAGTACTGGTGAGAACAAACGCTAGCAATGCTTGATGGTAGCTAAAATAATAAACGCTCGCTTTTAAATAAATAACTTAGTTGTAGTAAAGGACTCTGATGTATTGTTAGGTCATTATATATATAGGCCAATATATATTAACCAAGTTGCCACATAACTGTTATTTCGCAAAGGCAACATATATAAGCATAAAGATTATAAAATATCGTAATTTAATTGCAAAAACAATAGTCAAAGGTAACTAAATGTGCTTAGTTAATTAAAATAATCAATAAAAGCCTTAACAGATATCACCAGCATACAAATTAAAATAAAAAATGTACATAAATGTAAAATTGTAGCACCTTGTAGCACTACTCTGTTGAAGGCGGTTTTTCTGTCACAAATCTTCTGGAATCTAATATATAAACGCGATATATTAACTAATATATCGCGTTTTAAACCGTTAAAGTGTTTTATTTAAATGTGTACTACTCGCGTAAACTATAGACAGTATCTAGATAGTCGTTACATTCACAAAGATTAAATTATAAACTTAATGGCAAATAAAAATTGGTTTATCACTTTTAAAGGTTGAAAACACGAAATATATACTTAATACGGCCCGTCGTTTCGGTTGCTTTAATTAAAAGTATTAACTAATTCATTTCGCGTTTTAAACCGTAATAAGTGTTTTATTAACGTATAGTACAACTCGCGTTAACTACAGATTCAGTCTTTTTTTCTGAAGGTAATCAATTTTACATAAGAATCAAGGCAAACATATTTTCGGCGCTTAGCAGACTCTTATATATGTGTAATTAATTTTTTTTTGCGCAAGCGTGTTTTTATAATGCGAAGGATAATACATTTTAAAAATTTTCAAATTTTACTGCGTTCAAATAATGCCTATAGCGAACAAAACTAATATTGTATGTAATTCTGTATAGTGTATGATGGATATATATTTTTATAGACGTTTAACTAACTAAATTATATGGTAGTTATATTAGGGTAATGTTGTTTTATATTAATATAAATGTCACTTTAATTGTAATACGTTAAACTTACAAATTATAAAAATAAAAATATTCCTACCTATCTCTCCTAGATCGTGAATGACAATCAATAAAAACAGATTGATCGTTCAAAAATGTCCACTATTGGCCTGAACACTGTGTTAAGTGGGCATTAGTGGTATGATGCAATGAGTACTCACATGGTATAGGTGTAACGTATTTCTCCGGATCAGTAGCTATTAGCCGCCGTCTCATCTCATTCCTTCCTACGCCGGGCGCACCGACCAGAACGATTGGTCTCACGAAACCGGGTCTCGGGTACAGTCTCGCCACCTCCTCATATGTTGGTATCATTTCCCGATCGAAGTCATCGTTCTCCTTAATATCGTAAATGATCTTCTTGACTTTAGGTGTTGATTTGCATGGTAGTAAGGCAGTTGCGTTCGGCGTGGGCGAGCACGGTGTTTTTGGACTGCAATCCGTGTTGGTGTTGGTCGGCGAACAGAGGGCAGGTTTACCTGGAAAAAGGAAACCAAGAAGGATAATAATTTGAATGCATACACTCAACATTATTCAAAATATATAACTATTCCTTGTATTAATAATCTTCGCATGACCCGATTTCAAACAAGGGTTGCCTGGAAGAGAGGGCTCCAAAACGATAAGGCCATAAATTGTTGACCAATTTCTCTTTGTTTTTTTTTTAAGTTATGTTATTAAGACTATTAAGGTAACATTGTTTCAATAAATAAGTCAATAAAATAATTACTATTGCCTGTCACACTTTTCTATCATAGAACAATTTTTAACTGTTTGAAACACGAAATGTATAAGTACATAATTTCCATCACAAGACATTTTGGATGCTGATGATGATGATAACTCCCCAGGGCTACCACAAAAACATTTATCATTATTATTTTGCATTTTAATATAACCAATGTTGTCTATTGCACGAAGGTTTGCGATATTTTTATTACTAAAATATTGCGTCCTACTACTTGAAGATTATAGATGGGTCAAGACGTTTTCAGTAAAAAATAATGAAGTACCACCTTCATATGAATACATACCATCAACACATTGAGGGTCCATCTGTCTCTCGTGAATTATTCGGCCCTCTTGCAGTGCCCTGGAGGGTATGAGGCCAGCTCGCATGACCTTATCACCTTCACGGCGTGCCTGCCACCTTAAAAACACATATTATAAATAACTAGCTGTTACCCATGACGTCGACCGCGTCCCATTCTTCTTTCGAGTTTATCTAAAAGACTAGACAATAGACATATATTGACACGGAGATTTTTCTAGATCTTTAAAGGGGAACCGTCGTATCATTTATTTTTATTTGTTGTAAAAAATATGCCGTGTTTTTCACATTTACCACTGTTTCTCCGCTCCCGAATAGTCGCAGCGTGATGTTATATGCCATAAGGCCAACCTCGATGGTCTATCCAAGAGAAGGAAGAATATTTCAAATTCGAACCAGTAGTTCCAGAGATTAGCGCGTTCAAACAAACTAACTCTTGAGATTTATAATATTAGTATATATTAACGCGTTCAATCTAGCTAAGACAAACACAGTTTTGCGTTTATATATATGTAGTGTTAGCAAGAAGAGCCTACCAATAAGCGTCATCCTGGGAGACAATGTGCAAAATATCTCCCTTCTTAAAGTTTAGTCCAGCTTCCTTGCAAGGAATGTACGGATCTTCGTCCGAGTTGTAGTTAAACAGAGCTCGAACTCTCACTTTGGACTCGCGAGAACCGCCCTTGCCGAACGAAGGCACTAGTTTAAAAGTTATTGTCCCTTCAGAACTTTGCTGAAAATAAAAAAGAAAAAATTAAGCATTGTCCATAGTTTACGCAAGAAAAACGACGATTTAAATACTACACTTTTAACGGTTCAAAACGCAAAACATATTAGTTATCGACATGTTATTTTAAATTACAGTTGTTAGCGATATTTCACCAATAGCGCAGCCTTGTATCTTTATTCTCAGAGAGAGTATGGTAGATACAGCTTTTATGCAAACCGAGCCGATTTCAAACCACAGAGAACTAGTGATGATCTTTTATAGAGCGAAGTTGTTGCCACCGACACAGGTATAAAGAAATATCGATTATATATGGACCAAGCAACCTCATTATTTAAAATCGCGCATGATCGCGGGACTTCTATCTTCTATTGTCGTTGACTTTACTTAGATCCCATCCTTATGTAAATGTCAAAATAAAGAAATTTACACTGTCTGTTTAATTCACATTTAGGTTTTTATTAGTGTAGTTAATTATTGTAATATATAATCCAGTGTCTCTAAGTGCTTTCAATGTAAGCCTCGTGAGAAAATCACGATTTCATGTAAATTATGTGTTTGACAAAAATGACAAGTTAGAAAAAATGCACTATACTCATAATTTCTTGACATATACGCGTCAACGAGCTAATAAAGCCACTTACTAAAATGTCGAGCACGTCAGCGGGCGTTTTGTTCTCGACACTGATCCCATTCACTTCGATGACCTCGTCCCCAGCATGAATGAGGCCAGATCGATCAGCAGCGCCGCCGTGCATCACGCGAGCAATCACGATCTTACCCGTTTCCTCGTCCGTTTTTATCGTCGCACCCTAGAATGTAGAACGATGCTATTTTAGTAACAAAGTAAAACTCTTTATGCTGGAGGAGGTATAGACAAGCATCTGATTCACTTAAAGTGAATTGACCAGCCACATAACACCTAAACAAGGTGTGCTGTCGACCTTATTTGTGGGCGGTGGTCCCACAATCCACATTTTCAGACCGCCAACATGTTTCGGAAAAATTATAAATTGATTAGAAACACGTTGGACCCAATGATGAGCACACTCACGGCCTGTGAATTATTCGCCATACATAGCTAACCATTAAACCGACGAAGTGTCAAAATCTAACCGTTATCCTTACACTCTGTTATACACAAAAACATTTTATCGTGGTTTTGGGGACTACAACTTTTGAAATTCGACCAATTGAGCCACAAACAATCCTATATATTGTTACTATGATATGCTTATATTCTCTACATCTCCACTAATGTTAAAAGGTCCCCAGTCCCCCTTCAACTCCCGCTTGGGCATCTATCCCTATGTTGTAGAAGTTCCAAATCAAGGACTGAATGATTTTCATCGTCGTTTGTAAAAAAACCTGTAATGATTGGAACTCTCTCCCCATTACAGATATTTCAAGCGCATATAATATGGACTAATTCAAAGCAAACATTAATAGGTAGTTAGCCTGTGCTTTGACTTAACATCAGGTTAGGTACAGCCATACGTATAATCTATTAAAATTGAAAAAGGGTTGAAGTTTGTATGAACGCAATAATCTCGTAAACGATCAAATTCTTTTCAGTTACGCAGTCCACACATCTGGAAATGTTATGAATTTAGTTAGCGTGCAATTGCTCTAACAATTAAGCTAGTCCCAAATCGCACCGTACGTTACAATGTGTTAAATAATCTCGCCGGTACATTATCATGCAAAAATTATTAATATTCAAGAAATTTAAGTAGTTCAAGTAAAAGCTAAGTATGCATGTCGTAACCACTTCATGTTGCTACGCTCGCCCAAGTAAAGGATCCACGTCTTTTAGCAACTCAAGTGACACAATTATTAATTTTAGAGATATAAAACCCTTGGCGGATGAAAACATTTTTTTCTATTATTATAGTTCAAAACTGTACTATAGAAATAGAAAGTAGATATTATGCTTATTAAGTCTCCAAAACTTCAAACCAACGTTTTCCCTATACCACAGACGCGGACAGCGCAAACAGAATTTTCCTAAGTAAACTAAAAGACATTTTCTATAATCTAAAAATTATAAATTACGTAAAGATTTGAAAAGATAGAAAACGGTAGAACATAACACTAATAAGCACTTGTATTATGTCTACAGTAATGAACAAGTGACGGATCAAAATAATAGTCTGAGAGGGGGGGGGTTGCAAAAAAAAAACACAATACAAATTGTGCCAACATCTAGATATAGCAGCTAAGAATATAAACAAAAGTGTCCGGGGTAAGTGACAAAAAACTTCAAGATTATGAATATATATATATAATATATAAACAATATGGAGGCAGGAATGATGTACTTAAGCGAGAATTAGTGATCAAACTTACCACAATTGGTTCTGCGCTCAATGCTCCACCCTTTTGATAAAACATCAACATTCAATACATCTAATCTAAACGTTTTACAGAACATACAGTTGTTTAAACATATAAATGTATTTACAATATTGTAACATATAGAAACACATTTAAATACAATACATATTATGTCAGTATAACCAGAAGAGTGCATTTCTACACAAAATATAAGCTTAATATTACATATAATTTGTATTTCAGAAAACAAAACATACTTATTAATATTATGTATATTAATTAATGAAATTCAATTTATATATAGCTGCTATTTCTAAATGACAACATCTTGTTTGTATTAGTTTTTATATAATATTTTTATTGTACACTAAGATTTATATTAATTTATTTAACCACACATTGTGTGTATATACAGCAAATAAGGAGAATACAAATATTCTGATCCCCTTTGCTATAAATATGTTTTATCGAGACAAGTCACCTGATATATATTAGTATATATTTTAGATTACATACCAAAGGTTCATCACTTTTCACTAATTGCACTATCTTCACAGTTTCTTCATCTTCATCAGCATCAGGCGGTACGTCTGGTAAATGTGGATAGTAATCCTTTTGGGCGACTGCATCATGTGTACACAGAATAGCCTAAAAATGACAAAGGTTGAATAGAAAAAACATGTATATATCCTTTGTTACAATAAATAAATAATTAAAACTTAACAAAATAAAATAGATTAGCGAAAGACAGATAAAAAATGTTTTATTATAGAAAACCGGATAGTAGGTTTTTATTATATTACGTATTATTATTTTCTATCGGGGACACCTGTGGCAGGACGGGTGATCAATCCACGTTATCCACCAACCATTTCACCCATTTCCTCCTTGTAGAGGTTTTGGGTCATCCAATTCTCCCCGTTTGCCCTTTAAACCTTCAGATTTGCTTTCAGAATCTTATTATTATGATAGTAGGTTAATCTTTAAACACAAATAAAAAATACTTTGATATAGCAATTACCTGGAAATGTGGTTTTTGCAACAGACTCAAGAGCTCTTGAAATTCCTTAGAGACAGTTTTTAACTCCCCAAACATTTCTAGAACTTCTAAAGTGACCTGCATAGCATTGGACAATAGAGGGTAGAATTTATCATCTTTCCCTTTTGCTACTATTTTGTTGTGGACTTGTACAAGTGCATGCAATTGTTTTGATTGTAGTAGCTCACTTAAAAACGCTACATCTTCCCCATTTGATTGTACCTCCTTCAAAGATGTGAGTAATCTTGTTAAAGCTTAAAGAAATAGAAAACATGGTTAATGACAAGACTAGATTTAAAAAAGTACTTCTCTTCCCAGCATTCAAACTAAGAGTGTAACATTAGAGATATATCATCCATCTTTGAAATTTTATATATGGGACATGGGTCAGATACATTTCCGATTTTATTTACATACTTGTCAACATAAACTACAAATTATATTGTTCCCAAGATTCAAACCCAGGACCTTTCGCTTTTGGTAGATAAAGAACATTAAACTGTTGTTTAAAAAATAATCTTATTTAAACCACTAAAACAAAATGGTCAAATCAGTATTTTTTAGCTATGGAACTAGGATTTTACTTATGTTCATTTTTTGATACGATTTCCGTGTATTATGGTTGAGATAAGCGCCTACAAAATATATTTATTGATGCGCGCAAGACAATTGAAATAACATGAATGTAGTTAGATAAATGAATAGCATATATAAGAAAAGACAGACACTACTTACAAGGATCCCAATTGTTTTCTGTAGGATTAGGCATCATCATTTTGATAAACTTACTAAACACTTAATAGCATAATATTACATAAAATTTAATTTGCTTTATAAGCTAAGCTATGAATTTTGGATTGAGTATTATTACCGTAACATATTGCTTCGTAAAAGGAACACGTATCTATTTCCACATTTATTGTAACTCGCAGGCACATGGGTATACGCACATTTTGTATTGCAATTAATATAAAACATGCAGCTAAATGTTTTAAGTAAGATTTGATAGAAAGACGAATTGGGTGTAATGAGTGCACGATTTCACAGAGCTTAGCTTAATATTTGGCGTTTAGGGTTGCCACTTCAGAATTTTACCCAGAAAACGGAGAAAATAGAACCAGGTTCTAATGCTCGCTGAACTTTATAAGATATTACGGGTTAATTTACTCTAATAATTTAAAAATCAAAAATAAATTGAAAAAAATTTCGACTCGGGTAGGACATGAACCGGCATCGTCAGGGTTCCGTGCTGTTGCTGTACCAATTGAGCTACCGAGTCGAGTTTGATTTCGGTATAAAAGTATCACCTGTGTATCAATGTATCTCCATCGGTTTCTTTTTGCGAATGAACATTTTTTAATATCAAAGCATGTATTCTTTCAAATACCGTGATTTTTCTTAATACCATTGGTCAAAAAACAAAATAAAAATTACAAAAATAATTTATACTATTACGTCAAATTAAGAAGAAGAAGATATTACGGATAGTTTGACATGTATGACTCTTGACTTTGACACAAAGCATAGATTATGCTATCATTGATTGATTTAAAAATCGATAATTTTTATATTAATTAATTTTATTTCTTTTCCTTTTTCTATATTTTTTGCAAATAGCTGCAACGAATTATTTCCACACCTTTGCATGTCGTCATGACATCATCTAAATAATATTTTAACTATGGTGCGCAATATATGGATATTTTAGTGATTCCCGCGCAGGTAATAAAGACACTATGTTTTATGTGTTACGTTTTATCTTAAGAGTAAAGTTTGTAAAAAAATATTAATTATATTAAAAGCACACGACTTATTGCTAACTTAAAGGTAAGGTCGTAGTAAGAATAAAAATACGTAAAAATTCCGCCTTAGTTCTCTTACTGTCATTTCGTTTGTAATCGTTATAAATAATTTGACATTGTACAAGAAACCGGCTCTACGAAAACATGGCGCTCGAGATCGATTAGACAACGTTCATAAAGCGAGCACCAAATTTTATTTCGACGCGTAAAATAGCCAATTGTGTTGTAATGCCATAGTTCTATATATCAAATTTTTGTGAATGAACAGTGCGTTACTTCTTGTTCCAGATTAATATCAGGTATAGTCAGACATTAATTTTATATACGCGCATATCTATTTGACGTAGATTTTTTGATATAAATTTTACAAAGATAACTGCGAATGGGTTTGTTCTTAATCATGATACGTAGACATGTGTATACCTTACAAGCTATTTAAAATAATCCACCGTCTTAACACGTAACAAACTTGGTAAGATACTTTCTTTAAAGTAACAAGCACCGACATTTTCGTAGGTAGGTACTCATTAAAAACAAAATTTACCGATACATTAAATTCTCTGCTAAATTGTTTTATAAACGTTTAAAAAACAAGTCACGGCATTAATGTACCCATACATATTGTTTTATGAAGTAGGTGTGTTGTTGAAATAATAATAGAACCATTATTATGTATGTGGTATGATGTCATTTAATATAAATATCTTCTGGGTTAGGCATATCTACATTTATTCACACATTGGTTTTAAATATTACTTAATGTATGAAACATTAGTTCAACATGAAGGAAATTAAATCTAAAATGTTTTTTCTTTCTATTGTAAACTTTTTTGTGAGCCAATCAATTTAACAAAATACTTATTCTGGTATTGGGAAGGTGTCGGGAGGGGTGGCTGGTGGTGGTGGTGGAATGGTGGTTTAGATTTACTAAATATGGTATACAGATATATGTTTAGTTTGACGTTTTTGTAATAGAAATGTTAACTGTGCCCCCACAAACAGACGTATTTCAATCAATAAAATTACTTACAGTGAAACATTGTTTTTTTAACATTTGTATTATTCTTACTTACCATATTGTGTCTTAAGTGTAAGAAATGCTTAATGCCGGACACGAGGTTTAAGCCTGTTCCGGTGAATGAGTCTTCAGCATCCGATGAAGAGTCTCAATTGGAGCTCTATCTTCAAAAACAATTAGAAGAGGATGTTGCAAGGTAGTCTATAATGCTAAAAATCTTATAGATTTGTCTCAAAAAGTAGATTATCTGTAAATTATCAACACATTATGATGATTGAATATGTAGTATTAAAACACAATTAAATATTCCTGCTTTTAAAAATAAGGTTTTTATTTATATCTACCCTCCCTTTAATATAGAATAAAAGGATGATTTTTCCTATTAACACTTGTAATGTCATATTTGTGTGTGATTTGCAGAATATTTGATGAGTCTATATATTCAGATCTTGAAGTGGTGTGTGGAAAGCTAAAAATACTAACACACTCTTGCATATTGAAAGCACGTACCCACAAATTCTATCACAATCTTCAAACTATTTTGCATGTCAATATAGATCGTCATATCTTTGATGAAATTTATTCATACATAAGGTAAATTGTTGTTCATTTAATGTTACTGAAAGTTAATTCTGTTTTTCAAAATTACTTGCAACATTTATTTTCCCCTTTTCAATAATATCTTAGCATCCTCATGTTTTTAAGAGGTTTTCTTTTTTTTTTGTCTAAATTGTTTATTACATTTTTTAACAATCCTATAAAGCTTCATAAGTTCCAAAATTATTATAAGTTTAATCCTATCCTCTTCTTCTTAAAATAAATTATAAAATGTTGTAGAAAACAATTTACTGAATGTAAACTTTGTTGCAGTGATGCATACACTGAATGTGATATTAAGAAACAAGAAATAGAAATAATTAAATATTTGAAGAGTAACTTTATAATACTTAACTCGGTCAAAACAAAATCACACGCAAAAGAGGAAGATGCAGAGTTATATCTGACGCCTAAATGTGTCAGTCCATATGGCGAAGACAATATACTTAAGAGCAATGTCACAAGTCCCAATACAGAACTTACGAAAGAATATTACGCATTGGTACCAATAGAAGGAAATTTGTTGGACCAAGAGTTGAATGAACAAGATGCTCTCTCAGATGCTTTTCAAACAATAATCAAAACTCAACATAAGTCCTTATCTGTTAAAAACGTACAGCACACCAAACCTACTACCCTCTCGCTTACTTCTAGTCACACAGCCAAAACCGTGAAACATTCCATTAGTTGTGATATTATTAATAATTGTCGAAGTACTTATAACGTGGACTATGAGATTAATGGTGAATATACAACTAATAAATGTGCTGCTATTAAAAAATTTGAATCAAGAGATCTAACTGATCAATCCTATAATAATTTAAACAGTATTGATCTAAGAACGGAACAAAACTTAACCTCAACTTGTTCACCAGATAGTCTTATAACTGATGATCCCAGTTCTTCCTCAGACTATTTATCTGCAGCTCCAGGTTTGGGCTCTATTGAATTTTTCCCACAATTATATGCTGATGAAAAATTTAGCAAAATGAACAATATCTTTGCGTCATCTGATTCCGGGTTAGAAAACACTGGTATATTAGATACCAATAAAGATATTACAACAACTGATGTATCATTAACAGAAAGTACTTTGCACGACCTGGCTACGGAAGATACAAATCCGTCTTTAGATTGTTATGATTCTTTCAATCCTGAGCACATTTTATCATCCAGAGAAGCTGAGTTAAATACAGCAGATAGTTCGGCAAGAAGTCATACAGCTCCAAGAGATTCAGGCAGCAATGGGCTCAATGATGTTCCCGGGAAAAAGGACCCGACATATTCAAGAAATACAAAAGAAGAAAAGCAGCGTATGAATGAAGAAATTGTTATTCTTGAATCCTCTTCGATATCGTCCGAGACGGGTTCCTGGGAGTCAGTTTTTCCCCCTAAAGGCTCAAGTAAAGAAATTTGTGAAAAGTTTATATCTAATGAGCGACTTGTTAATGATCAACTATGTACTAAGCCAAGTGGACTTTGCAGTGAATCTGTAACAGCCAATGAAAAAATTGAAATAAAACCAACTCCTTGCTTCATAGATGCCTCGAGTTTAGTTGATGAAGAAAATTACATGAAAGTGCCCCATGTTTATAAAAATGAATGTGTTAGATCTGATACTGTAGTACCTACTCGCCCTTTACCCTGTAGTACAGCTCACAAATCAGACATTAGTCCTATTGATTGGTCAGAAAATAATGATGATTCTCTGGAGCAACCATTAAATATAGATAGTGATTCAATTCAGAGAGATCTATCTCCAACCATATTTGAAATGACCCCAATAATTGATGATTCCTTTGGCACAAACGTGTTCGAAATGGATTTGGATGATAGTGCTGATGAACCAAAAGTAAATAATGAGAATGATAAAGTCAATGACGGTCCTTATATGAGTACATTATTTTTAGTCTCAACGCCAAATAATTCAATTTTATCAGTTCAGCCACATACAGACCAAGACCCGAATGATCCTTTTTCATCTCAAGCATGTGACAAACTTAGTAGTGGAGACACCACTTCAATAATTACTGACGGTACTACAAGAACCAGGAATTCTTTTGAAGGAAGCAGTCACTCCATAGAATCAACGATGAAGTCAAACAAGTTATCTGAATTATTAAATAACAGAAATGACATACAAACATCTTCTTGGGTTGTTGATATGTCTATCAAAGCATGTAACAATTCTAAACGGTTGCAAAAACCCAGTGACAGGACCTGCGAAGACCTTAAAAGTGATAGATATGACCTTAATAACAAAAGCCACAGCTCTGTTGACTCTGACAGTGAAAAGTCCAGTCATAAGTTTTATATTGACCTTTCTAGCTTACCAGATACGTTAGCGCTTGAAAAGACCGAATCTGAGAGCTCGCACGAAAAGAAAAATATATTCTCAATGTATATTGAATTAGGGGAAAACGGATCAGTAAAAGAAATGCCCAGTAGATTATCTTCATCACTCAATGCAAAGAAGCAATGCGACAAAGATAAAGCTATACCAAAGCCATCGCGGACCGCAAAGAAAATAATTGAAAACAACCACAAAGTTGTACAACCACACATAAGCGACGTTACACAAAAATCTATTGCGGAGGATTCCTTTGAAAAGATCGAATCACTATGCAACGATCCCAATATAAGTATAACCGAAATTATAAACCTGCCAGTTGCATTGAAACGCAAAAACGACGATAAGGATTTATCGCAGGAGAAAATCGCGAGCAACAAAAGCAATGAACATCGAAAAACTAAATTGATAACCGTTATACCTGAAGAGTCGGATAAAACTTTTGTTAAACTATCCGATCTCGACAAACCAGTGACAAGATCGGATATAGCCGTGCATGTGAGAAATGACGACCCTGTCGAAGTGAGGATGACGAGGTCGATACCAGATAACAATTGGGGGAAGGGGGATGCGTCTTCGCGATGTGATGTACTTAGTTCGTTTCACTCGGAGAACGCTCTGAGTTTGAATAGACTCTTTCCTCACCTGAAGAATACATTCAGCAGAAGCATGCCTGGTTCGTTATCTGTGACAAAGCCGTCCAAACGGGGTGCGAGTTTTAGCGAAGCTGATGATCATGTTACGGCGGATGTTTCTGAACTTAGCAGCGTTCAGAGCAGTGTATGCCGCTCTGTCGTGGGTAAGTAAATTAAAAGTCCACCAGTACATTTCATTTACAATAAGACACATAGGCAAATTTAATTACAAGATTTTTAACATCTTATCCAGTCCGTTGTTTAACAGAAATAAAAAAAGAGTATTAACGGTTTATAACGCGCAACGTAATAGTTAAACTTCTTTATTAATTATTTTAACTAGGCTAGGCTCCGTAGTCAAAACAATTTGAGAATAAGTCCAACTAATACTATTCGCGTTTTAAACCGTTGTTATTTAAATTTATACATCCAACAAATGTAGCCTTAGTGTTGCTTGATACTTTTTTTATTCAAGCTTGTTTTTTTTAGAAAACAGTACCACAGAAGATACGAGTCAGACCTCGAGTCTTATAGCGAACTGTCAATCTCGCCTTGGCCAGGATCTATTGCGAATGTTCTTGGAAGAAATCGCTCCAGACGTCATCGTGGAGGTTTCCGGTAAACGAATAAAGGCACATAAATGCATTTTATCCTCAAGGTAAATTGGAAATTGTATTTTCGTGAGATTTTTTTTAATACTTTATTCTTTATATTTTATTTGATAAAGGCGACATGGGTCTCAGTTGATGGCAGGTGATATGCCAGCCAGCCATATAACATCTAAACAATATGTGCTGGCCCTTATTTTGGCTTCAAATATTCGATTAACTCGTACGATTAAAGACTGGTATATATGTCCTACACCAAGAATATGATTGGAAAGTATATCTTGTTTGAATTTCAGATGCCAATACTTCGCGGGTATTTTGAGCGGAGGTTGGGTCGAAAGTGCTGGAAACATTATTGTACTCCCACCGTAAGTAAACAACTTTTAAACTAGTCACTTACTTGCGAACATAATATAACCTAACTTTTACTATAATGTGGCTTAGCGGTTGAGCGTATTTGCGAAGTTTCATCACAATCGGTTTAGTAGTTTAGGGGCAGGAATCATTTTTTGAATGTGAAAAAATATTCGATTATAGCTAGTTTCATGTAGTCTAGTGTGTACACTTATATATTTATAGTGTCACATGTCATGAAGTATTGCTTAAGTTTACGCAAATACTTAATATTTAATTAAACACTTTTAACGGTTTGAAACTTGAAATATTCGTAAACAAACTTTGTACTTTGAGTCGACATTAACTTTTTAAACCATTAAGTTTTTGATGCGACCTTTATACATGTAATACAATTTCATTGGATAAATATATTAAGTAGGAATGTGCCAATTCGAGTTTTAACTAGCTAAGCTTAAGTGAACCACGTAAAAAAAATGGAAAAAAATTCATTATTATGGGTTTACGAGGCGTTCGCTGCAAAAACGGTTAGAACGATACCTCTTTAAATTATCAAAAAAATAGTCCGCGACGCTATATATACATACATCTAATATCTTTTAAGATTAACTGGCTTGAACTTGAAGGGACGCGACCGACGTCGTCGGTAACAACTTACGTTTATAAATATGAAGGGGTTTGCCAAAACTAATTTGAAGTCGCTGACATAGCTAGTACAGTGTACAAGTATTTTAGTTCTAAATTCCCTTTTATCTTTAAGGTTTTCGTTCAACGTCGTTCATTTCGCCCTGTGCCATATCTACTCGGGCATATCGGCAATACCTGACACTTTGAGCATTGTTGAACTCGCAACAATAGCTGATATGCTGTGCCTCGAAGGTCTCAAGGAAGCCATCATGTTCACGCTTAAGGCGAAATACTGCCATCACTTTCATAAGGTAAGCGATTAAAGTACTAATTTTACAATTGATTTAAGTTCATTCGTTCATAGTGCATAAGGAATGAGGTGATAATATATAAACCGACTGTTAGAAGTTACTGCCCTGTGTGTAGAGGCCTTATAGTGAAGTTTATAAACTACAAAAACACTTTTCATTGTCATCATTTTGCGTAAAACTCCTTTTACCTTAAGTTTTAGATAACTGATCAATGGTGGTTTATTTCACAACTAATTACAGAAAACCTTATGCTAAACTCAATATAGCATAAGGTGTCTTGCTCAGTTCTGCAGCAAGACCGAGTTAGTAGCGGTAGTAAGCGGTAACTATAGCAACCAGCCATGAATCTCCTTTTTTGACATTGGGTCTTAAGGCCACCGGTTGATAGTAGTAGTGAAATCCCGTTGTCCCTGGGCATGGGCCGAACACATTTATGTGTCCGTTTCACTAATCGGTTCTTTTACAAGTAGTTGATCAGACTTATACCTAAATACGGTCTATAGTTTACGCGAGTAGTACACATTTAAATAAAACACTTTAACTTTAACCGCATGCTTTGTCCTCCCCGTGACCACGGCTGCTGCAAAGCATCCGAATCGTCGGGCCGAAGTTAAAAATCATTTTCAAATAAGTTTAACTAAGTTTAATAAGTTATCGCGTTTTAAACTGTTAAAGTGTTTTATTTAAAACAGACTGACAGAAACAATCTATTGTTAACACAGGATCCGAACCTTTGATCTCTCGCGCTTAATGCAATGAGAGGCAAGACGTTTAACCATTTGGCTACTACCTACTTGACCACCTCGGTAAGCTGGTCAAGTAGGTAGTTTGAGTGAAACATTCTTCTAACTATGCCACATTTGAAAACTTTAATATTTTTCACATGATGGCACTATATAATTTAAAAATCGAAAAAAAATTAAAAAAAAATCGACGATGAGGTGTAGGATTCGGTAGCTCAATTGGGGAGCAACAGCACGGAACGCTGACGATGCCGGTTCGAGCCCTGCCCGAGTCGAATTTTTTTTCAATTTATTTTCGTTTTAAAAACTATCCTACATGTTATCGTATTTATCTCACATAACTTTACCATTGCAGCCCTGCCAAATTTGTTCTGCTGGCGTACTGGAATGCCTTACTTTATCATCCGTCTACGGATTGGACGATCTCTATCGCAAATGCCTAAGATGGATAATGAAGTATTTTCCTAAAGTTTGGCCTACTAAACCGTTTGCGACGCTACCTAAAGAACTTTTTGATAAATGTTATCAAGAGGTGGTTGTTAATCTATCGATGGAAAACGTCATCGATACGGTATATGGATGCGGCATTACAGGTAACGATTATCTTATCTTTTTATTATATTATTTACTAGCTTCGCCCGCGTAGAATAGTTATTTCGGGCATTAAAACTTGTTTTTGCAAACATGTTTAAATATATATTATAAATATAGCTGTTACCCATGACGTCGGTCGCTTTTGCAAGTTTATCTTAAAAGATAGACATAGACATAGAATCCTGCGCAGGAGTCAAAAATCGAATGGACGGACGCGGGCTTCGAGCGAGTGAATGTCATGGGCGCTAGCGTTGATTGGTTCCCCAGTCGTGTTACCGCTCTGCTTGCTTCTCGAGTACAGTCACGTTTTCCAATCAATTACGTGCGCGATTGTACAGATGTGCAACTATCCCCTATACATTTGGTTCAGCGCTAAACATATGTGCCGCGACACATGTCGGTCACTTTTAGATCATTTAAAGAGGAATCACTTTTTATACATATTTTTTGGGGTTTTGTGGTTTTCAACCGAATTACTTAATTTATGTTGGACATCTCATTGAATAGGGACCAAATATACTAGGGATCGAGAAAGTTTATACATATATAAATAAAAAATGTATAAAATTAAAATTTTTCAAACCAACATTTATTTTTAATTTATACAATCTCATCATTTGCAGTAACATGTGAAAAATATTAAAGTTTTCAAAATTTTGCTAAATTATCTTTTGTACATTTCAGTTGCGTCCTTACCAAACAGCCGTTGGGCGGAAACCGTAGCCCGCATGTGCAGGAGAGTCGTCAACGCCGCGGCCCATTTCACAGCGCCGCGTCTCTTCTCCATCCTCAAAATGATCTCGTCTCTATCTGACGACATGCACCAATCCGCGTACCTGATGCTGGACGAGTGTCTGATGGCAGCTATAGAATGGGCCCCACCAGAAGAAACTTGTCGTTCTTACGCCTTCCTAACCACTCTAATCATACACTACGCCACAACGTCCCCAACTTCCAAGCACTTTCTCCGCAGATTCGTCAACCAATGGCGTGTTCAATGCGAAAGCTCGCTAGTAAGATCCGCCCCGCGCGTCGTCGGGACACTAGCGTTTAAAGAGCTCTCACCCAACTTGCGGAAACGGCTTCGCGAATTAGGCTGCATCATGTACGGACCGCAGACTGTACCGTTGACTGCCTCGCCCCTGCAGGACAGGAAGAGCAGAAGCGTGTATCAGAACAAGCCGGTCGCCAAGCACGCGGCCGCGACCCGCAGTCTCGATCTGGACCACGTACGCAGTTCACTGGCTCCTCTCAAGATGACTCAAACTGTGAACCGGATGAAGTCTGAATCACGCGAAAAAGACAAAACTATCCCCAAAGTCCGTACAACGAAGGCGCAAGAACAACGCGCTAAATACAACCAGACCAAGACGGTGACGCAAGATCGTAGTGTGAAGCCAGTGGTTCGACCTTACGAGAATACCAAGCCTCGCTACATGGAACCGAAGGTTTGCAAGGAGGAGAAGAAACAACTGCTGGCCTGCCCAAAGAAGTCGAGTGATTCCTCGCGTAATTCCAGTCCGGTGCTCATGAAGAACTTCAAGAGAGCCGCCAAGATGAAGGCGATTTCCCAAGACAGCTTGATGAGTTCGTCGCGGCCGAGGACCGCTGAGCCATCGACGGACTCGCTCAGTGAATCCAACTCGAACAACAAGTACGCGACATTTACTAAGACGAAGCACACGGGCGAAGGATCAGTTGAATGTAAGTTCTTGTATAATATTGTTTGTCGATACTGACAAGTCATGACGTCACGAAATACGACGATGACTTGTATAGGACACGGTATCTCAATTAGTTAGACCAACCGCACGAAACGCTGTGCACACCGGTTCAAGTCCCGTCCGTGTCGATTTTTATTCAATCTGAATCGATTTTAAGTGTCTATAATGCCATTATATGCAATAACAATGTAAAACATCTAACTGATTGGATTTTTCAGCATATTTCTTAAGTTACGTGTCTGGCGACGTAATCAAATAAGAACATAAACAGTAAAGATCTCTTGCATTTTTATAATAAAGGAGAACAGACATTTAGACTTTGGATACATTTGCACGTACTTAGCAACAATTAAAATTTTATAAGATGTAAAATGATTTGTTAATTACAGCAGTGAGGTCGACGAAACCGCACACGTCGTCCGCGCAGAACGTTAACGCCAAAACGAAAATACCCGTGTTAAGCCAGAGCGCGGTAACCAAAAATTACGACAGACACCAGCATGAGAAGACAAATATGTCGCCTTCAGGGAACAACGCGAACTCTGCGAAATTGAAAAATAAAGGCTGCATCAGAAGCATTCCCGGCTCCCTTATGAACGCGACAAAGTCCAGTTCAGCGAAAATGGTCACGAAGATTGTTAAAGATGTAACACAGAGTAAAATCAATAAGAAATCACCGAAGGCTTCCAAGGACGACACCGTCCGTCTCAACAACATGAAGCGATCTAACACGTTCTTGAAAGATGAACCGACGTTTGGCGATAAAACAACTAATATCGACGTAGACCATTAGATTTTTAGTATTAGCATTTTCGTCTAGATTTATGTATTTATAAGTATATATACTTTAGTATCCAAAATCCGAAATATAGGATTCGATCCGCGCTTTTAGAATGGCGAAAAAATTGTGGCATTGTTTGTGTATCCACTTTTCTTTGCTAAAAATGTCTTTAGGATTAAATCCTCTATTCCTTATCTATCTATATAAAGGCTGAGCTTTTGAATATACTCATTAAGTGTTTATGGATTCGGTGCAGGGTACTCCGAAGCACTCAGTCCCTGGATCCGACTTGGTTCGGTCCCCTGTTGCATTTCAGCCACTCCATATAGACTAAAACTAAGTATTATCGCCTACAATATAAACCAGCTTTGATGTTTATATTTTTTCCCTTCTATAACGTATTACTCGACAGTACTTAGTTTCTTTTTACTTAGTTCTTTACTTGTGCAATGTGTATCCCTAGTCTTAGATTACTGGTTGCTTTCAAAAGGGCTCGAGAGTTCGTATTTTTATAAAGGTAAAAGGAGGTATCTTTTCTAATGGTTTAATATTGTTTGCGAAAGTTAGCACATTTGGAGGGTAGTTATATTACAAAGTGCAATGTTTAGTATAACAAAAAAACATGGCTAATAATTGATTTATACAGCACTCAAACTAACATTTCTTGCAAACAAGTGACTTAAAAGAGTAATTAATCGATTTAAATGAAAAACTTAACGATTTAAAACGCGAAATGTATTATTTAAAGTAATTTGGAAATAATTGTAACCGCTGATGTTTCGGATGCCGTGCAGCAGCCGTGATCACGGGACTAATGATGGAGGGTGTCCCTAATGTCAAAGTAAAAACTGCTCCGCCAGCGCCATCTGTTCTTTCGTTGGTATTTTGCGAAACTGGCCGCGTTCAGAGTTGACTCACGGTGTCCTCTTGTTTACCGTTATTTCTAGTATATAGTAATTACTACAAGTTTATCATAGTTTGCGTTCTAAACCGTTAAGTGTGTACTAGTCGCGTAACCTACAAAGTACTTAGATCGAAACAAAATTGGTTTAAGCTAATTCTACGACATTGAATTGTTGATTTGAAAGTCTATTCGTATATTTATTAAAGAAAATCGGTGCCATTTTATTGACATTTAAACAAATAATTTATTCAGTAAAATACTATACCAAATCTACTCTAAACTGTCTAACTGTAGAAACATCTCTTTTTATCCTCTTCTTGAATCATTTGAAAGTCAGCTGGTATATACTACTCAAATATCATCTATATATGTCTACTATGTGTTTGTTATTAGTATTAATAGTCTCAGCGAGGTTTTTCCACAAGCTGCTTACTTGGTTTTCGTATTACGCTCATATTATCTAAAGGAGCTTATTTTTTATATTAAGGGTTTTTCTTAGCGTTGTTCTTATACTATTGTTTTTTTTCGCATATAGTTTAAGATTTGACTTGTTTATATACCGGAGGCTTTACCCGATACGACAGTATGTACATACAATCAAATACTATAGTTTTGAATATGTATATTGTGTACAATTCATTATTATATGAAGCCAAACTTATTTAGCTTTATATCTATTTTTACACTTTTCTATTAAGGCCATCAACTTATTGCATTTTCATTAGGCTTGCAACGAAAATTTTGTTGCTTTCTTGTTTCCACCCCTAGTTATGTCGAGAACCCTCAAATGGCGACCGTATCGCGGGTTCGAATCCTATCGTGTTTCCAATAACAAAATACTCGTACGTTAACTAGTAAATTAAAAGAAGCCTTTATTCTTTCAACTTGATAATAAACACCAATTCTACTTTGGGTTTAAGTCCAGTGATGTATTATCTTTAAGTGACAAAAAATATATTTACTTAATAGTCTTAAGAATCTCGTTATTTGTTTGCTGTAGTTATATGCTTCGTGAGTTTAAGTGCTAATTTTGTACCACGTACTTTGTAACATTGCTACGAGAAGCGAATAAGCTTTACTTTGCTAATATATCATTAAACTTACGGATTGAAATATATAAATGGTGGTGGTTAAAAAAAACTTATATATTTCGCGTTCGAAACCGATTTATTTACCTTTGCAGTGACTGTATTTCGTGATCCCAACGAGCTATTCCACTTATATGCAATTCGAGCAAAAGTTCGCTTACAATTGCATAATATAGATGTATATTCTTTTTAGTTTAACTTTGATCTCAGTGATGCACAGTATTTAAATTAGTTTTGTGGTTCAGCATCAGCCATTGTTTATGAGAACGTAGGCCATGTTTGTTTTTGTATGAAAGTCTAAATATTAGCGATTTTGTTGTAAATGTAATGCAAATCACTTATTCTATTCTAGTGGTTCTGGGACTTAATATTAACGGTGTACTGTAAAATTCGAAATCTTTAACTTTCTAACATAGCTGGAAGATAGATTTTTTTATTCTTTTTTAGTTCTTTTTAAATTAACACTTCACTGACTGTAGACTTTTATTTATGGACAAAATACTTCAAGACTGCGTTACGCAAAATTTAGTACAATTTTTACTTTTAAATCTATGTATTGGAATTGAAGTGAATAAGTTTTTAAATGAAATGATAATTTTTGAGAATCTTTTTTAAAAATTTGGATTAACCAAAGGCTCAATAACTCAATGAGGAGTCGTTTTTGCATTTTTATCTTGTTATTACAAAATCTAGTGTTACACATTTGAATTGTATTCTTGCGACTGTAGCGTTTCGCGTACACCTGCCTATTAGTCTCAGATAGTCAAAAGTTGTTATCATAATTACTTAGTTTAAACTATTAAAATAAATATAAAGTGCATTTTCGAAATGTTGTTTTATTTATACTTACAGTGATGAGGTGTACAGATCAGTGTGAAATGCCCCAGTCGAATAATATCCTAACAAGATGTGTTGTCGACCTATTGACCGAAATGCAATTTAACATTACAGCTGTTTTCATTTGTGAACGGTGTTTCCTAGCCTGAAAGCAACTCCGATTTTTCACCACCCATTCAATAACCCGATTTGCCAGACGAAATCCAAACTGAGGCCTCTAGATGCAGAGTAGCCATGCAATACTATGACTTGAGTTATTTATATTTTTATAATCTAAAAATGTTAGTCTACAAGAGCACGGTGACCGAGAATTGTTAACATGATTCTTATACAAATGATTCGGATTAAACAGACGGTTTGTTACTTAACATTGGTACAGTTGGAGCCGTCAGATAGCGTAGTATAACCATTAATAAATTAAGTACGAGAAATTACCGTGGATGATAAGGAGTGATAGAACAAAACACTAATCGTTTCCCTTCCTACCATTCCCCGAAATCTTAGAGGAACAACGGGATGTCATTTCGTTTACTATTTCACCGTTAAATAATACAATAGAGAGGTATTCTCGTCTAGGAAAATTAAGAATCATAAATTAAGTCTTTTATTCAGAAAACGATACAATATAGCGTAATATAATAACAATACCACACGGAAATTTTTATTCAATTTAAATTATGCTATTAAAAGTAAATCTAAGTATTGATTGCTTCATATTCAATCCAAGTTACCTCACCCCAAAATAATATCCACGACATATTCACAAGCAAGATTATTAAAATTCTCGAGAATTAGGTACACAGTAATTATAACATAGTTTAGCCTAAATACTATTTCATTATAAAGGCGCGTACATTCAATTTTCACTTGAAGTTATATGAATAGTGTGTCGATACATTGCTCATGGAATTACGTGCGCGCTACCAAATATGACATGACACAAACTAACATGGGAAACAATATACAACATTTGAACGACACTTTTTATAACAATTATGCAATAATAGTACAATTCGCCCAACACAAATGTATTTCGTATAGTTCCAATTGTAATGTGAATCAATGTCGTGTGTTTATACAGCAATAATTAACCTAAGTGCTTTCTACCTCCCACTATTACCGAGATGAGGTGTAAGGGAACTGTTTGTACAGGCAGTGGATTGTTAACTATTGTACATATAAGTCCATAAGTTCATTAGTAACGATAACGCATACACCACATTTAAGTTAAAACGAAACGTCAACAGCGAAACAAAATAATTCTACGCGTATGTGTACGTGACACGAATCTACAGTTAGCATGACTTGTAGACATCTAATTATTACAATAATTACAAAATCTCGCTCCGCCACCGCTGTGTCGATGGTCGATGACATGAATCACTCACTGGTCGCGGGGAATGTTCAACAAATGTATAATTTAAATAATAGTTAACAATTGAACGAAATGAACGAGGGATCTAGGATGTACCTTAAGTTCTATACCGAGTAAGTTATCGCCATCGGAACGTAGCGATAGTGAAGTTGTTGCGACATTAATTGGCAATAATTCAATTTTCGAATGCTCGTACTTTCATTCGTTCGTAGGAATAATAAAAAAAAAATATTTACGTTCATATTACTAATTAGAATTAGAAAAACTCGCGATTTCCCCATGACTAGCGACAAATTAATTCATGTTTCATTTCCTAAGCAATTTAGCCGCGGCTTTAATCCAAGCTTATTCAAGCCCCCAATTGTCATGTCAACGCGATCGGTCCAGACTATTGAGTCTATGACAATAGAAATCAGACTATGAAAAAGAACATTAGCAGAATTCATTCTGAATGGAAAAGGCTGTCTAATGTATCCTAAGACTAATAGATACACTAGACATAAAGAAACACGTCACGCTCATCGACTAAAAAGTACAGATCGATCGAAGTTACGAAACACCGATTATATACAATATTTTCACGGAATAGAAAGTTTCGTTGTAATTGCATATTGATGTCCATGTGAACATTTGGCTATTGGCTAGTGCATTTCACGTCAAGGTCTTCGTTCGACAAGGCAACGTCTAGATTCCGAAGGCTATCGCTATCTCTAATGTCGCTTTCGTTCGTTTATGATGAATAACATCTATTATAGCTATTAAGACAATTTCGGTTGCGATACTTTTAGAATACGGCAAGATCCCGAGTATTATTTCCAAATTAGTTTTATTTTGCACATGTGTAGAACTGTTGAAAAGTCGGTGAGAGGTGTGTCCGGTATTAATTTGGAAATAATAACCGCACGGCTCATTATAAAGGCACATTTTCTACGACTATAACAATATAATAAAGATTGTAGTATCAGTTTATTGGAAGTCAGTTACGGAACGATAGCGACATTATTGTTTTGTAACATAAACTAGATATATTACAATAGGGCTTGTCGCTTGTCAGTGAATCGATCGTCTTGAATATTCGAAAAATTCACATCCGATGTGGCATTGTATTCTGAATTTTGTTTATTTAAATTAGAGTTGTCAAGAGATTACGACGCAACAATAGAGAGTCAAAAATCCCGTGAATACTGCGCCGACAAGCCCAAGCCCAACGCAGTGTAGTCAAGTAATAAATGCGATCCCATGCACCGCACTACTTACGCAGTGATGATAATCACGATGACGCACAAATAAAAACAGAAAACTAAACATGAGTAGCGCGTTATCAGGTCAATAAATGCGACGCTGAAGCCGAGGTCTGCCATTTCGAGATCGAAGCTGCCTTGAGTGAGATATGGGGGCGTGTCTGTGAGTGGGGTCAAATTGCCGCGGGTAGAAGGGGGGGCGATTATTCACATGAAGAATTTGCCGATGAGGATGCCGAGCAGCACCATGGCGATGGTGATCCCGAGCCACGGCATCACGGTCAGCTGTTCCTTCTTTTCAGGGCCGAAGGAGTGGCCGCGGTTACCCGCGTGCTCGGCGCCTACTTGTTGCTGCAGGCGGAGAATTTCCTCCTGCAAATAATGGTACACTTTGAAATACATCAACACACTTTTTAATATAAAGGGAAGTGCCCACTGTGTAAAATGACAAAGCCAAAAAATAAATCATCAATTTCCATTCATACTGTCTAAATGAACTAATCTGTTGTTGTGTCTGTAGAACAACAGTGTTGTATTTTGCATTTAAATTTTTAACTTTATTGTTCGCTTGTAGCCTGGAATGGACACTCCTCTTTCCAAATTAAGTATTTAGATCGAACAGAAGGAGTTGGCAAGAAACTCGCCGCCTCGCAATCGCCAGGTTTAATTTTACTGAAGGACATCGGATGAGCTACAGCCAGGTTTGAATAATATGTGCTAAATTAACTTATAAAGGGATTTGGGCCATGGAATGTCAACCATATAACACAAAGCTAGTGAGATCATAACGTGTCTTGGAATAGGCAAGGCAAGGACAGATTACATTATAATAGTGGGTTTCTGCTATGTAGTCTGTTTCAAACGGCTGAATAAAATAATTTAAATCTAGAATACATAGGGATACAATTTGTAGTCTTAAATATATTATATATAGTAGTCTTAATATATTAGTGTGATTCGCTAAAGTATGAAGTCTCTCTACGGGCTTTGACGGGCTCACTTTTGACCACTTTTAATATAATTAAACTTTTTGGTATTATTGTGCATATGTTGTAACGTGTGTGAGACTTTGTTCATGAAATGTATGCAGGTACTTTTTTTAAACGTCGCTAACACAACGCAAAGCACAGCTGTATAAATCGCTTAGCTAACAGTTTTAATGAATTCGTTTGTGTATGACCGAAGTGCGTCTTCAAAATTACGATTAAATTGATGACCATTAACTCATTGGGCCAATGTACAACCGATAAGGTCGTGGGTTCGACAACTAAGGGTCCAATTTGTTTCTTGCACTCTGTAATAGAAAAAACAATTGCACCACAACATCGCATAGCTAAAAGTCTTCCTTATCTTCCTAATACAGAACTCGTCTGTTTAAACAGGATAAGAGCGTTGTTAGTTAGAGATTAATTTTTATATGTCCACCCATTTAAACATGTCTCATCTAATATATCTATAATCGAACAATGTTTATATAAACATTGACATAGCACAGCAGGAAATGTATTATCCAAAATCTTCTAATTGATGCGCGAGCGAAGAATATTTGCCTTCAGGCTATACACAATGATTTTTAAAATACTCACTTGTAATCGCATATTTTCATGTCTTAAAATTGTTTCCACCTCCTTTAAACGAATGTCTTCGGCTATCTTTTGCCGCTGGCTCTCTACGTACTCCGTATTAGATGAAGACTGGAATTACATATATATGTTTATTAATCTTATCTTATTAGGATGCAGGTTTTAAAATAACTTTTTATTAATGCCCTGGTCTATGAACCCTCAGCTAAGTATACTAGACATACTAAAATAGGCCAATATAGCAAATAAATTAAACATGCAGCTTTGGATTCCAAACGCACCTACAATTCGTAAAGTCAGTAAAAATTAATGGTGCATCAATCGATATTCGTGTTGAAAAAGCACGACTAATCACGCCATCGCTATTAACCTACATCTATTAATTTCAAATTTAATAGTACCGTTTTTAGAATTATAATAATTTATTGGAAAGTTCTGTTTACGAATGACGCGAAACGATATTATGAATTAAAAATGGTATTTTTGACCCTGAAAACCAATCAATTTTTAAGCGACGACAGCTCGTTAAAGATCGGCCTTTATATCGTGTTGTTTATCTTCAACAAACACTAATTACAATAAGTTTTATGTCAGGAGCGTGTTCCGACGGTGCGTTTTTGTTTTGGGCTAATTTGTAATCGAAGTTAGGACGCCAAGGGCTTTGTAGTCACAGGCTTTACAGCACCGTATGGACGCACGAGGAAATAAGTTTACAAAATCCTAATACCGCATCATTGGTACGTTCCTCCTTGCTTCCTCTGCCTTGGCCGACGGTAGAACGCGGTTTATCGTCCTGCAAGAAAATTGGAAAGTGCCGAAAATGGTATGGGCAATAAGTTCTTGCATTTTAGGACATTACTTGAAAAATAAAAACAAAGGTACGGAGTCGATAGTCTAGTATTTATATCGTTTTCGATCCTAGCTGATATGAAATCAACATTTCAATTAGTACCTACTGCCATGGTAATGAAAAATCGTGTTTGGATGAATCATGGCAACCTTTGGCAAGTGGTATTAAATTGCAACGATCAGATTGCTTATATTCTCCGAAACGTGACGTCATCGTTTATTTATGTAATGCGTCCTGTTACGATTTTAAGAATCAAACCCGATATGCGAACGCGAGAACAAAAACAAAACAAGCTCTCCCTTTTGAGTTAAAACGTTGCTTATTGAATATACTAATCCATACTTGCTTAGAAGTTACTAGTATCACTAAAAATCATAGATATGATGTAATTTGATGTTAAATACTGACGTCACTATGCCTTGCTAGTAACGAAGTAGGTGACTCAAAATCTAAGTAATCTTGTTTTGTAACAATTGATAGTTAAGGTGTGTGCCCACTACTTTGTAACATATTATGAACGAGTTATCGTAACACAGACAAGCAACACGATACGGTCTATATCTATTGGAACGCATCGAAGACATTTTCTGCACGGGTACTCAACCGGTAACATAAGAATAAAACCCGTTTAATACGAGTATGCGACACCGGTCAAGGTCGCCACGTACCAGGTGCGATGCGTATCGGAAACGACGAAATATGTTTCGTGCATAAATCGCGAACGGTTTTGAGTGATGACGAAACAGTATAGTAAGAAGGGTTTACTTCAATAAACAAAATGTATTATGTATCTTTTCGAACTTCGCATTTGTTGTAAACAAACACACAATTCACATGGAATCGTCATTTTTAACGTCGACTTTAATAATAATGACAAAAAAGAGGTCGTATAAAAGTTATTTTTAATATTGGGGTCGTTTGATCCATGTAATCGATATTTCTTTAGCCCTGTGTCATCTGTGGCAACAACTTCACTCTATAAAAAGTCAACACTAGATGTATGGTTTAAAATGAGCCATATTTGTTGTGGTCTCTTGCCAAGTTAGAAAAAATACATTATACGTGACTCGCTCTCATGATCACGGTGTACTACGGCGTAGTGGGCAGAGACCTTTATAGGTACTCTTGGCAATAGTACAAGCATTAAAATTAGGCGCTAGTAAAATTACCTTAGATGACGCCTGGGGCACGTTTGAAGGCTTGGCTTCTTCGGCGACAGCGACGAGCTTTTTAGCAACTTCGTTTTGAGCGGCAGTGTCGCCGGAGTCCTAAAAAACATATAAGTAACTTATATATGGTAAACTCAAAACTGTTAGTGTTTATTTTACACCTCATCAACGATTTTAATATATTTCGTGGCTTTCTATAATATTATCATAAAGTTGTTTGCCGAGAAGCAGCGAAGGTTTTTTGTTCGACTAAATTAAAGATCTGTTTAGATAGAAAAATTAAGCGGACTTGTACTGACAGTCTGTACCCTCAGTGTTTCGTATTGTTGCTCTAACCAATAAAACATCGTCGAATTTTTCAATTTATTGATACAGCACCTCTCGCGCAAGTTGCGTCTTTTGTACTATCATTAATCATATGCGTATAATGTAAGACGGTTTAACACTGCGATGGGATGTCTAGCTATATATGTCTGCGGCTACATGATAAAAAAATCTTAATTTTTTAACTTAAGGAACTTAATTTCTAGGCGTATTCTTATTTATCCTTACATATATTATGTAGCATTACGCATTATTGCTATGTACTAGGTTCTAATCCGAACGGCTTGGAATCAATCCTTTTCTCACGCTATACATTATATTTAACTCGAACTGATAAGACCTCGCTTCAAATATTAGCCGAGGCTTTGCACTGAAGTCAATATCACTTGCAAAATCCCTTGCATTAACATCGTCGCAAATAAGGAATGACGGCAGCACTGACCGTGGGATGAAAAGGCAGGTATGGCAAATAAATCTATAGCAAACCGTTCGGCCAAATTTGGACAAGAAGACCTGAAGTTCCGCTGATGTGTGCTTCAGTATTTCTCATCATCGCAAAAACGGAGACGATGTTGGCTTACGATAAAGGAGGATAGACAAACATGGAATTCGCTTGATGGTAGGTAAAATCCCCGAGCAATATATCAACAAGGTACGCTGTACGATTACACTTTGTATATTCCGAAATCTAGACTGAGACCGAGCGCGATTAAACACCACGGTCTTTTTATCTGTGAACGGTGGTTCGTGACCTGGACGGAATTTCGATATTCCTACCATCCATTTAATATACTGACTTCCAGACTAAGTCTTACATGTTTCAGGAAAATTCTCAATTGATTAGAAATAAGGATCTGATGGTATCAAATCCAAGACCCTTTGTTTATTAGCCATAAAATACATGAGACTATTGAGCCATTATCAAATCATACAGAAGCCAGCTCCACATAAGAGTTCGCTTGCGCCTACTATACGCGACAACACATCTCATATTTTTGTCACGACACCTAAAAGAAACTCATCTTCTTAAAAAGAACATTGATCCACAATGTTCTAAGTAATTGTATAAGTGTTGCAGAAGAGCGACGAGTGACATAGAAGAAATTATTTGCGTCTATAATTGTTACTGTTCTTAGCATTTACTTTTTCTTTTCAGAGCACCCTGTAGTATTGAATTAATTAATTACGCTACTTACATTAAGGACGGCTTCCCGTGGCGATTCAAAGACGCAGCGTAACTTATAATCCATGAGTTGATTGGGATGAATTTCCTTCCACTAAAAGAAAGAAATTTGTATACTCGCAAATCATAATATAAAGAATTTCCTTTATTAATCAATAGCACATTCGTTTTTCTATGACTATAACTAATCTATAAAAGTTTTTATTTTTAATATAAACTTTAGGACTTACATACTTCAGTTTTGAATAAAACACCATAAATGGTACAAAACTCGAAATAAGTCACTTCGGTTATAATTAATTTATAATAATTTTGGTCCCGCCCTGACCAAAACTATATTTCACATTTTTAAATTTTTAATTAATTCCTAAAACTACATGCATTACTAATATTAACTATTCATAGCTTAAAAATAAAGATTTAATTCTCTTACCACTTGATCAATATTAGTCTTTCCCTCGGGAGCAATTACACTTTGGACCATAAACTTGTGTTTGTGTGTTTCATTGGGGTCCACATAGAAGTGTTGAGGTGTGACTAAAACAATATTAAAAGTGAATTAAAATCAAATAATGCCTACTTGAAACTTTCAGAATGTTGAAGATATAAAAGTTGTTGTTATAAAAACAACTTCTTGTACTTAAATTGATATGGAGACACACCTTACTTGAAATGAATGATAATGCTACATATCTGCTTTGACATTTGTTAGTTTATAGTATAACAGTAGTTTTATACTTGTACACTAAGTAGAAATGTTCTGTTGTATATATATGAAGCCTCCAGAGGCAGAGTAGCCTAACTGCAATTTTCATGACTTGCTTTATTTGTATTTTAACAGCCTAAAAATTTTAATGTAGAAGAGCACAGTGACCAAAATTGTTAACATAATTCATAAACAGATAATAGTAAAAATTCATTTTTGCCTTAGTCAATTGCACTTTTTAATTTTCCTCCTTATTGAAAATTATGTTTTTATTTTTAGGCCACTCTGCCTCCAGCAGCCGCATATGTAGTAAGATACCATTTAATTTTATAAAAGATTATTATAAAGCCCTTAGTTTTGTGTTGTTACTTCTGTATAGTTGCATGAGAACACACTAAAAAAGTATAGACTGTAAGTAAAGTAACAATTTCAGAAGCTTATTTTGAAGTTAAATATTAATAGGGTTATAAGTAAGTGTTACAATTTGTTAGGGCCTTAGAAGCGACGAGTGTCTGTAGAGTTGTTTTTCAACTAAGTCTTTGTCTTTACTAAAATTACATGACTTTTACTAACTTGCAATGTCCACCTTCGAGTTGGGCTCCAGCATACCGGAATTAGGGCGCACATAGTATTTCTTTGGTGCGGTAGTTTTAATTTTGAATAACACCATGCTCGTCGTTGGATTAGTCAGCCGCATGTGAGTGGTGTGACCTTGATCAAACAGCCCTGTAAAGTCAACTGAAATACTCTATTATGCAAACCATAACCTTAGTTTTTAAAGCTATGGTAAAATTGGGGACTTGGGAGAACTTTGCACAAATTTAAAGTATAAGCTAGATGTGATTATCTACAAACATTTTCAAGCAAGCTCTTAGTAATAGATATAAAGTGACATATTACACTGGTCTCTGTACATATTTTTTTATGATAAAAATATATTTTCATATTAATATTGTATAGTTTTAAATGAAAAACTATTTGAGTAATGATATTGTTTCACCATATTTACTGTATAGATTATATATATATTAACAATTATTATTATAAATATTATACAAGTGCCTGGACATTTTTTTGAACTTGTTGATATTAATAATTAAACTATATTCAATAGTTATGCTTTGGTAAAGCAGTGTAGGTTATTGTGGATGATTTTTAAAGTAAATAAATAAGCACACCAATCTGTTAAATTCGTCACCTATACATATATACAAACATAATAAATTGGGGAATATGAATCATGATATAAATAAAAACCTACTCCTTCACATTTCTAAGTTTTGTCATAACAGGAGGTGCTATTAGTGATTAAGTAATATCGAATTCATGTGCAACTATTTTACATGACTATCCCGAAAATGGAGTTTGCTAATCAATCAATCGACAGCCGACATTGCAGAGTGCCGATATGATCTCGGTTTCGTTAGGTTGTAGGCTACGAAGATATATAGTAAATCCTCCATTCTTAAGCTTAGAATAGATTTAGTGGCGAATATATTACAAAACCAAGTCCTAATAACATGCTAAATCTTGAAATAGAATCACCATTTGTCAGCAGTTAACATGACCTATGTTGCCCGAGTCCCAATGCGGTAGCCGAAATTACAGCCAAAGATAAGCAACTCACCTTTAAACTTCAGCTCATTTTGTGGTTCTATAATCAAAACTTGGTTAGGCATTATGTAAAGAACGTTTTTCACTGGCAAAAATTAGAAATTGGAGAAAAATTTATTTCTACGTTGTCGGCCACAGCGAACGAAAAACGACCGAATTCCGAATACGACATGCGCAATGCGCATGCGTTCTCTTTCCATTTTCTTTGAAGATGAGCAAAGACAATACGGATCATGTTAAAATTTCTTTAGTATTTAATCAAGTCAGATTTTTGTATGAATGGTACATTTAACTACATATAACATATATGTACTTAAATGCATGTTATAGTTTTCTAACGTCTACAGAATTATACATTAATTTAATTCGAATTGAACGCATTCATATTTTCTTATGTTTATCTATTTCTATAGGCTTTCGAAATATTAATAATCTGTCTAAATTTCTGTGCTCATTACATCTATGATTTCATAAACTTCTTTTAAATATCCTGGCAACCTGCTAAAGTTTTATGGAAAGTTCTCGATTGTAGACGGCCAAGGTAACAACGTGCTGCTTGCGTTAAATGATGTAGTTTTTAATGTACAGTAGTAAAATAGTATCACATTGGCCATTTATTCTTAAATAATCTTCATAAGAAAGTAGCAGTGTATTTTTTATATATTTAAAATTTATTATATTCGTTATAACTTATGAAAATGTATATTATATTATAGTTTCTTCCAAATTTCTAGACGAACTTTGTTCCATAGATAATATTATTCTATGATAAATGTCATATTCCTTGAAAGTTCAAAGAATTGCAATTTGATCAATTTACATTTAATTTTTTTGTAATTGTGAATTATATAATATGGCATGCTGAGACACACTAGGTACACGAGCGAAGCAGTGTTTAGTTCGTAATCATGAATTATACTAACGTCAGCCTTATTGTTAATGGGTGTCTTAAATTAGACCGATGCTTGCGGAAAGAACTCTGTGTTTCATACAGTAGGTGGAAAACTATAAAACCATGGAGTGCAGGTATCAGGTGCTTCCGCAGTTACCAGTACTCACGGCAAGGCTACTCAGATGATGTCAATGTCATAATGTCACCAGAAGAAGTAAGCCTTTCTGAACATACCAGATAGCTGAATCTTATTTTTTTTTAATTAAAGTCAGCCAAGCATGCGGTTCATGTAATAGTAGGTGAAATACCTCAGCCATATAACATCTAACCAAGATGTGCTGTCAAGCTATTTTGGCATTGGATAATCAGAATGATTCATAAAATAGTCTAATATGATCAACTCATTATAGTTGTGTAAATACGTTGAACAGATTTGTTAAAACCTATTGTTGGAGTTATTTATACCGATTTACACTTTACTTTTAATTGTGTTTAATACAGTTGTATTATTTCTATTTATTACTAATATTGTTCTTCTGTAATGTAGGTAACAAATATTCTGCGTAAAGTCGAGTTCACACAGGATATCTCGCAAGATGCTGTAAAATATTATGAGAACAACCAATTGGAAGCCAATAATCCAATAGAAGACACCAGAGTAGAAGCAAAATGTAAATTAACACAGGGTAAGTATCTAAAAATTCACAGTTCAGTAGTTTTTATTTAAGTTTCTCAAAATGTTGTCCACAGTATTATAAGTCTTGGCCAATAAATTTATAAATGATATTATTATTATAAAATTACTTATTTCAATTTATTGATCTCCTACTGGACTGATTTTGCACATTCGAGAGGGTTTTGGGAACTTAGAGACACACAACACTTCTTTGACACCTTTTCTGCTCAATTTATGCGGACAACTAGGACTGATGGCCTTATCTTGTTCTCTGAGGTTTGGTGGTGGTGATGCCAAAATTGGTACTTAAAAATTTCTAGTACTACAGAAAAATCTTAGAAAAATTCCAAATATCTAAATAAATTTCACCCAATCCAGGATTTGAACCCCAAACTGTGGTCTGATTGCAGTGAATAGGTATAATTCCAGTTATCGTAAAGAGAAAAACTGACTATCAAAACTAGGTAACTACTAACTAACATAATGAATTTTATATTAAAAAAGTCTTAGTGTCACATGTTTGTTACAGGAATTTTGTTTGGTGTATTTGATGGACATGGGGGTCCGGAATGTGCTCAAGTAGTTGCTAAGCGTGCAATGTCGTATATTGCTGCTAGTTTATTGCCACCACACATAGTGAAATTGCTAATGAATGGATCTTTGAACTTGTCGCAAATATTAGAAATGTACAATGTAAAGGTATGGTTATCATTATTATCCTCCATTGGGTACTCACACTGTGTCCCCTTCATACTTTCCAGTTTTTTGCCAAATCTTATAATTTGTTCTATCTTTTTTATTATTATTTTCTTTCGGGACACCAATAGCAAGCTGTGTGATTAGTCCACATTATCTGCTACCTATTTCCCTATTCTCCTTTTATATGAGGACATGGGTTATTATTTACACAGCCTACAATGTGTCACCTCCTAATCTTACATTTTTAATATTACCTTCTGTTATGATTTTGTCTCAATAGAGCAAACTGCATGATAAAAAAGATAAGAAAAGTTAATTTTGTATATTTTTATTGCAGGGTGAGTTTGTTCCTGAATTACAACAGCTATATCATGAGAGCTTCCAAAAATACTTGGCGGAACTATCAGAAACGCATAACAAAAATTGTAGTATCGCTGATCGCATAGAGAGTAGTCTGTTGCGTTTGGACTTCGATATGTCCCACGAAGCGTTATCACCATTTGAAGGATTCGGTAGGTTTAATGAGAGAACTTTAAGTGTCGCGTTGTCAGGGGCGGTTGCTTGTGTTGCCTATGTCAATGGCCCAAACCTGCACATCGCAAATATAGGAGACTGTGCAGCTGTATTAGGTCAAGTTACTGAAGATGATGAGTGGTGTTTCACAAAGATTACCAAAGATCATAGCACTGCAAATATACAGGAAATCAAAAGAATATGGGATGAACATCCTACCATGGAGAGGAATGCAATTATTAGAAGCAACCGGCTATTAGGCATATTAGCACCATTAAGGAGTCTCGGAGACTTCAGATTAAAATGGCCAGTCAATGTTCTAAAAGCACTCTCTGAAGTCTACCAAAATGTGATGCCATCCAATTACCATACACCACCATATTTGACGGCTAAACCTGAAATGTTCACTCACCGACTGGCACCAAAGGATAAATTCCTCATCATTGGATCTGATGGTTTATGGGACACCATGTCACCGCTGAAAGCAGTCAAATTAGTCGGTGAACACATGAAGGGAAAGATGGTGCTCAATACACAAATACCCGAAAAGGACATGACCTTAGGTGATATAAATGATCTTTTGATAAATAGGAAGAAGACTTTGCGGAATAAACCAAAAGATAGCAATTCTGCCACGCATCTCATAAGACACGCAGTTGGGGGTATAGAAGACCACATAAGTGTGGCGCGACAGCTTAGTTTGCCACTAGGTTCGTGTAGCAGGGAAGTTCGTGATGATATAACCGTAACGGTCATCTTTTTTGATTCAGAATATTTAAGACAATGTCCTGCCTAATTGTATCATTTGTTGTTTTTACTACTTATTATTAATTTATTTGTTTTAGAACATCTTAGGCTCATTGTTTTAATAATCTCATAAGTTATATAACAAGTTATTTTTTTTAGTAGGATTATTTCCTTGGATGAAAAGGTTAGGCCAACCATAAAGAAAAATCACTTCACCAACATGCACTGTAATGTGGGTAATGGTTAATTATTTATTATACTACCCCATTTTCCTTTCGTTTATATCTAGATATTTAAGATATAGTCAAAGAATTCCAGTTATTTTTTCCCATTTTATTATTGTTTTTGGGCCGATTCTGAATCTAGAATTAGTTTTATGGACCAAAGATTTCGCATTTTCCTCTTTCGTTGCTTTGATTGTAAATTTAAACTAATAATTTATATTTAAAATTGAAAAATTATTGAATATTAAATGCTAAAATCAATTATTTATTGTTTTTTCTTACTATTTACTTGTATATATTGATATCTGTTTATTTGTGTCGGGCCTTCAGATTTATTATATCGAAATTAATTTACCAGTTGTTAACTATAAAAGCTTTGTATTATACGAGGTTTGTTTTGAAAAAATTTTACACTTTACTCCATGCTGTAATTATTACTAAAATGTTTTAAATTATTGGTCTGGTTGTCAGTATAATAATAATATTTATTTATAGTATATAATATATGACGATATTGATAGTTTAAAATAGACACAGGAGAAATCATAACTACTTGTGTTATGGAAAAAGTTATTCCTATTATTTTTTATTGAAACAATGCGCTTTAAATATACATAAAATTACTCTAATTGAGATTTATAGTCGTTAAAAGATTTAAAATTTAAACAGGACACGCTAATATTTCCACGTTGAAACTAGCTTACATCTGCGTTGAACTGATTTCAAGCAGCGTGTTTATTTTAATAAAACAGATATTTAAATTACGGTTGGGAAATGTGAATAAAACAGCATTACCATATCAACTTTATTAATAATAATTTATATTAAAAGTGAATATTTTAAATAGTAAGTAAAGTAGGCAGGTAATTATATCTACTCGTATTTACACATACTATTTTCAAAGTTTCTTAATAGGGGCGGCGAACTGAACTTGGCTATCGTAACGAATTGTTATTTTTAATGAAAACAAATTTCAACTGTGTTGTAATTTTATTAGTATTGATTATTTTTCTACCTTGAAGACTAGAGTAGATGAGACTAATTCGTATATAAAAAGTGACGTGCTCACTCTTCATAGAATTCGAGGCCCAAATTGGACAAATTGGATTTGAATAAAAAAAACAGTTTTTATATAAAAATGTAGACTAATTATAGACGAAATACAGAATCAAATATTCGTTTCAAATAAATATAAGTTGGTGCATGTATAAAACGAAAAGATAAAGTTAGTTGAATAAGTAACAACTTTTAAGACTATTATACTAATATTTGAAAATGGCGTCCTTTGACATATTTTAGTATAATTGCATGTAATCTGTGTCATATACTACTAATTCTTATGAGTATAGGTTATGGTTACATCGGTATAAAATTGATTTTTGTGACTAAGGTAACAATAGTGTGTTAAGTGTAAAACTACACTTTTTCCCTAGTTAAACATAGTTGGACACAAGAATTAGCGTGATGTTCAATGTGAACTAACTATTATTTAGCCATTCGTTTCTGTACACGTCGATTACAGATAAAGCATTGTTAATAGAAAAATAAAATACTAATACTGACGATAATACATCTTAAAGCTTAATTAATTACAGATGAAGTGAAAATTCATAAAGTAATTGTTCAGTCCGCCGCCGTACAATAAAATTAGACGAAATTTGGTAAGTTCTCGCATCTTCGGATATTCAGCCAGTTTAGTAGAAACCTATAGTTTGACATCCCACCACGTTATCTTAAAACATATTGTAGAATCTTTTTGTCTACGTGGCGTTAAACCAAAATATCGAACATTCAAAATCCCACTGCTGGGCTAAAATTTCCTCCTCCATAGGAAAAATGGTCTAAGTTAACTCTTCCACCACTAAAACGATACTACGATATATATTTTCGAGAAAACATTAAGGATGCCAGATTACAATGTTTGGCTGGATAACCCCAAATTTCGAGATGAACTTATTTTGCTAGGATATTAAACAATCTTTGAAAGTACATTCTACTGTGAAAATAAAATTATGAGTCATTACTCCATCGCTCGTTAGCTGCTTGAAATGCCATTGATTAGAATACACTAGGAATAAATGAAACTTAGAACTTAAATGTCTTTAAATTTTAAGGAAAGGAAAGACAAAAAACGCGAAGCTTTATAATCAATACCATTCGAATACTCGTGAACAGAACTTGTGAAGAGAATCTTAAAACAGGATTCACAATAATAAATGTATTATTGTGAATCGTATATCCTGAAAAATGAGCAACAAGCGATGGAGGTATCGAAAAATTTCAAGAGATAAGACATTAAAGTCATGTGCTTGTTACACTTAAAATACTACATATTTCATCTACTTGTTGCACGACACATCTATAAGTATAAGTATGAATAAATTAAATGCACAATGCATTAATATATAGCAAATAAATGTATTAAGTAAATTATGAGATTCTTGGCTACTAAACCAAGTAGTTTATGATACTGTAGCATATTTAGTAGCGCAATGACGAACTATAATGGTTCTTAACGCTGTCTGTTAAAATTAAATTTATTTTTACCATTAGAAAAACAATAATTGCAACTCGCCTCTCCATAAAACTAAAAAGCTATTACACGAAAATGAAACGACTAAAAATAATATGAGGCTGCCAAAGGCAGAGTGGCCTAATAACAATAAAAAACATTAAATAAGGAGGAAAATAATAATGCGCAATTAACTCAGGCGAAAATGAACTTGTACTATTATTTGTGTAAGAATTATGTTAACAATTTTCGGTCACTTTGCTCTTGTGGATAAACATGACTGAAAATGTAAATAAAATTGCGGTTAGGCCACTCTGCCTCTTGCGGCCTCGTATAATTCCGTTTTTTTCTACGAACTTTTTTTGACAAACACATCAGTTTCGTTTCACTTACCGATGTTAAGATCGAAATATTTTAGTGTGGGATGCCAATTCCGGACCTCACTTTTTAATTGGGTCACAGGACGACCACAAGACAAACAAAGTGAGCTACGATTAATTTAACTTCACAGCGTCACAAACCACAAATCATTTTGATAAACGCGAAATTTCACTTAACACAAAGCACAGCCAGCAACGGTTAACCTACACTAGTCTAGTAAGACGCACCGTAAAGCCTAGTTATTAGTTATCTCAAGATACAAAATTGACTTATATTCTCGATATAAAAAGTTTAACTCGTGTAGTTATGGGATTTCTTAATATAAGCGAAGTACTCATTAGCTGTCATTCAATAAGGCAGATTACATAAAGTGTATATTTCTAAAATAGTCTGTTAGACTCTCCACGGAGTCTTAGTCGAGTTCTTTTTTATTAGTGACACGAAACGGCCACAAAAAGATGTTCTCTCCAGCCTTAAGAATTTCACCTACGCTGGCAGAGTGAGTCAGAATGTAGGAGAGATATGATTTAAGAAGAGAATCAGTTAAAGTCTTTGCATACTCTTGGACTAATATGAGATAAATAAATACACAAAGTATAACTCCCTAATGAGTACAAAGCTTTAACTACTGTTATGTTATGTGACAAATATTATGGCGCCATTTTGTATATGTTATTTACGCCATTTGCTTTATATTATGACGATAGTCGTTAAAGAAGCGTTGAAAGGTTATTTTCATTTTGACATTTTATCGATCATTGAAAGAAGAGTTTTTTTCAAAAATGACAATTACTTATATCTTTCCTAGTTCTAAGTCTTAATTATAGGTTTTAATCCATCTTTGTCCCTAATTCTACCATACCACAACCGTCACCGCCATTTTACTATATCTCAACGATCTGTATGTCAATGTTATCTTCGGTTTTAAGTTACGTTTCCTTAATTACGCTTTTTTTAATGTTCAACGGTTTTATGTAAAAATTTTGTTTTTTTTGTTCTATTTTGTGAGGCTGGTATAATAATTGTTAAAAAGTTATCTAGAGGTTTGTAAAAACCCCGACGTTATGTATGCCAAAACAGTTTAAATATTGTCACAAATACGAAATATTACATAACAATATAGTCTGTGGGGCGTAACACTTAGAGCCTAATAATCTTATTAACAACAGTAATATTTGAATAAAAAGCTAACAGTTTCAATCTTAGAAATATTGAATGGAATGTAGTTCATTATAGTAAGTCTATATCCAATTTATAACGTATGACTAGGATTTGTTTTCTTCGCGTTTACATTGACTGAATCTGTTGACTTAAAACTCGTAATTAAATAACGTGAAGAGATCATTAACTATATCGTGTGACAAGCGTTTGACTATAAAACTTAGATTTAAAAATACAACATACAATGTTGTATTTTTAAATATACCCTTGTTAAAACTATGGGTTTGTATGTGCATTTCTCATTCGCAAGCAAGACCTAAAAACGATTCTTTTGAGTGACACTGTCCTTCGAGCAAGTAAAAAATATTTATTAATTTGAAAGAAAATTCCCATTGACCTATTGTTAAAAGCTTTTAAGCTAAGCATGTTTGAAAATTGTCATTTTAAAATCATATGGTTCGTTCTAAATAAATTATTCGTTACAATAATAATGCTAAACAACACTTAGTCTATATCTATTTTTAAATAACGAATTAAGCTTAACAAAATTCGGTGGACACGTATATTTAACTAACATTACAATATGATTAGAATGGTATAGACAACCTTTTTTTTTTACGGAAACGTGCGCAGTGGACTAAATATCGATTAGGTATATTGACTTAAGTGTTTTTTTTTTAATATGAATGCTTGTTCAATCTTGTTAAATATTTTCAAGTCAAGATCGAATATAATGGGCTATTTGACTGATTTTTAAAATGTTCCTTATATTATTTAGTACATAAGTATAAATACTGTTTATAGTTTACGCAAGTAGTACACATTTAAATAAAACACTTTAACGGTTTAAAACGCGATATATTAGTTAAACTTATTGAGCCCGACGTTTCGGATGCTTTGCAGCAGCCGTGGTGACCGGGAGACGGGCACGAAACGTCGGGCCGAAGTATATCGCGTTTTAAAACCGTGTTTGATTTAAAAGTAAGAAGTATATCAAATTAAAACTCCATCATTTGAATTGCACGCCTAAACGCTGGTTTTGAAGTATCGCTGCATTACGGCTAGTGACATCATTACCTTGAATTAGCCATTGGTGAAGAATAACTGTGATTGAAGTAATAAAATGAGCTACAAATTTAATTATTAATTAATGCAGAGGAGAACTGTTTCAACACTAGGAAGCACGGCGGTGTATGGCAATGGTTTTGAGCAAGTGATGTCGTTTTAACCCGTTCAATGAGGAGCGTTTTGTATCGCGTGACAATTGTTTAAAAAAAGTTAAATTTAATTTGCGGATTTTTACTTAAATCAATTGTTATTTTTAACATGTGACTGATTCACTATTTCTAAATTTGTTCTTAATACTGATAACAGTGATTGACGCTATATTTTTCGCATTGTCAAATAGCCCATTAGAGTCGCTATTGACAATAACACGTTACTGACTTGAACTTGGGACCTAATTAGCTTGAAAATATCTTAACAGACTGAGAAAATAATGTTACCGGTAAGAGAATGGAGAATCGGGGTGTACATGATCGTTAATAATTATCTAAATAACATTTAGATGGAAAGTTTTGTACTCGATTTGTTTTATATCTATGAGAAATGAAAAATCAGTGTTCAACTTTGTATGCACGATTCACTATTTTGTTTGAGGATCTCTCGCGCGGATTTTATTTGCCACAAGTTTTAAACAAACAAAACATTTGAAGTTGGGGAATTCCCGCATGCCCTGTAGAGTTGCTAGTTTAGCAGCGATGCTGATAAACGATTCCATTACTAATGGAAATGGGATGAAATTTTTAATCTACTTTCGTGAAACGGTATGTTTATTTATAGATTGGAAAAACATCAAATATTTTAGTATTAAGTAATGGAATGATATCGACAATTTTTATTAAGTAGAGAAGAATTAAACCAATATTTCCTTTGTTAACTTCGATTCGCTTGGACGTGTACAACAAAGGAGAACGCAATACGAACTTTACCTTTGCGGAAGTGAGATAGAAGCAACGTAACGATCTACAGAAAGAGGTAAACCGTGTGACCCTCCGTCCACATTAATGCCGGTCTCTAATCCAGAAGATTATTACTCCTGAATCTGTTACTTATGTAAATTAGAGAGAAAATTCTTATCACAATGCGTTTTACAATCGGATATACCGTCGGTCTTATTTCACGAAGATTCAGTAACGAATGAATTAACATAACACTTTTAGCTAGGTTTTTAAATTTTTGAGATGTTTTAACAGCGCACGTTTTGTGTAATTAAAAACATGCTTCAAATATTGTTTTATAGTTATTTGTATAGATACAAAGCAACATAGTTCAGTTTTTTAACATGAGATTTTAAGTTGTGGGAATAGTAGTAAAAATAAGAATTCTGTTGTCTGTTACTCGTAGTACAGCTTTGTTTGAAACTGTGCAACAGGGTTGCGCGTGGCGTTTTCTTTAATTAAACGTGAAATCCGGCGAGAGAATGACTGTCGATTAATCTCCCCCAAGGGAGAGGGCTTGGACAATGCGGGGATCTGCCTTACTCCCTTCACGGAACTCCTCTAACGTGAGCCGGTCGTCATGGTTCTTGTCCATTTGGTCGAAGATCTTATCAACCCGCTTCTGCGGTGTGTTCTCGTCTTCTGGCTGCGGCGTTTGACCCTGGAACGAGTTCATCGAACATGTATTGACAGGTCTAGCTTATGTAAGTAAAACACATAACAATTAATAAATAATAAAACATTTTAACGGTTTTAAAAGCGAAATATACTAGTAAACTTATTTAACTATCGCCCGACGTTTCGAATGCTCTTTGATGATATCGCGACCGTGATATATTTCGAGTTTTAAACCGTTAAAGGTGTTTTATTACTTTTTTAATTATTGAAATCACATTCTGTTCAAAAGATATCAAGAAATTAAAATAAAAATACATGCCGGAGGCGGCCGCCACGCCGCGCATCGAGTAACTAATTCGACGATAGAGGGGCAGTGGGCTCCTTACGCAGTGGACGCCAGCGACATTGAATATTTCGAGTTTCTTTTTAATATTTTTATGCTTCACTTAAAAAGTTCTTTTCAGAGCTACTTAGTTTAGTATTACAAATCACACTTTGCATAATATTTGTCAAAGTTCTTTTCAAAACTATCTCTTTGAACTTGAATATTTCTTCTATATTATTATTGGTTTATTCTTAATTTCTCTAATTTAAAATAAATCAGAGAAATTAAGCAGAGAAGGTCGCAGCTATCTAAGAGTAGTTCCCAAGCGACATTAGCAAAAGTTCGTCGTATTGGGAAGTCTTCTGAAAATGATCGTTTGGAAAGTATTGGAGTGTACGCGTCCCAATCGCGAGCCAGAGAATCTATCGTCAAACGTTGCAGAACAAATGCAAGATCGTCGCAGCTATACGAATGACAGTCAAGCGCTCGCAGCGACTTGAACTTTTGACTTGAACTTGACTCTTGAATTCGCGAACGCGTGCACGGGCCTCTAACACTGAACGCTCGCAGCGGCACCTGAACCAGCGAGATAGACCACGGTCGTTAACAGAGAGGACGCGCATTACATTTTTTTTCTAATTTAGTGATTCATGTTCGTTTTAATTAGCATGCTTATAATTCAAATATCTGTACCTATTTATGACTACCCGTGCGAAGCCGGGGATAATATATAAAACGATTACTTACGACCATCTGGTATATAGCGTCCACTATGTTATACATTTCATCTCTTGTTATATATCCATCGTTATCCACGTCATATAAGCGAAATGCCCCTGAAAAAAAAATACATATGTATGTCATCGTTAACTATTTACGGCGTAGCATTTGAATTAGAATTTGATAAAAATCTCCATAAGCTAAGCATGATTGAAAACTTAATTTAAGTAAACTTAATTATTTATGCACATGATGGCGAAAAAAAATTAAAAAATTATTTATCTTTAAAAAATAGAAGACACAGGCGCGACTTGAACCGGCATTCACAGCCATACGTGTTGCCGTTCTAACTACGCTACGTCTTCATGTACCTATTATGCAATGTAATTTCAACCTTAACACTAATGTTTTAAGGTTGATTTTTAAATTAAATTATGTTGGTCTCTCGCATTTTACACAATTATAGGAAATGCGAATAGTTGCGCCAACGCATTTCCTAGCATTATGTGTTGCTAAACCTTTGCTAACACTTTTGATCTTGGACCTAACTTAAATATTTCTTTAAATTAATTATCACTTATTCAATTATAAGATATTCATAGTTGTATAATATATATTTGTACTGTCATAGTTACTTAAGTCTGAAATAGTTAATTACGCATAATTTTTAGTTATATATGAACTTCATTAAGTTCATATATAACTAAAATATATAATGTTGTACAAATTAATTAAATAATTAAAAGACGACGTTTTGTTTGTGAAGTAATTTGCTAGGTAATGCTTACAATGCAGTTTTTCGTCAAGATTCCCTCTCGATGTCACCGATAAAGCTCGTATGAATTCTTCGAACTCTATTGAGCCATCCTGAAAGCAAAACAAAATACAAGCTAACTTAAAAACTTCGGTCACATCGTGAGTTATTATGTTTGAAACACACACAAACAAACAAAGTGTAAGTATTTTTGTAGATTATTATACTAATAGTAATCTTTTAGTTTCTTATATGTATATTATTTTTATGTCTCTGTTATTTACACAATATATAATATTAACATGAATGTTACCTTATAAATAGTCTAATAAAACTATTAAAGAATTATTATAATTAATATAAGCGGCCTTACCTTCCAGGCAACCTTTACTTAATAGTCATTATTAGAGATTGGCCGAATAACTTGGTTATAATTTGATATTTGATAACGAGTATACTTTGTGAGAAAATCAATATATTGAGGTAGATATAATTAAAACAACAGCGCTAATCCAAAAATATTGATGAGTAATATAAGAGATCTTTGAAAATTACCATTAATAAAATCGAAACTATGGTAATGCATGAGTAGTGAAGAGGCAAAGTTACGAGAAGATGAGAGTGAGCCGACGTCTTGACCGCGGCGAACCTGTTTGTACTTGTTTTCGCGCGCGAAGTGAGAATTTGATTGGACTGACTCGCTCGGCCGAGTACTCGGTTGAAAAAAACTTGAACCGAGTAAACTGGTGCTCGTTACTCGGCGCACATCTAGTTATTATTATGTAATAATTAGTATTACTATGTACTCATAAAAGTTTGCAAGTCTAAAGCCTTCTCGTACATCTAGTGGTCGCTCGTTGTACACTCCACAGTTCGTTTGTTCAAACTGTTCTAATATTAGTCCTGTACTTGATTTTTAAATAGCAATTAATTATTAGGTTCCATAAAAGCACTCTCAGAGAGTACGCTGAGCCGCCGGTCCCGTTTATCATCAGTAATTTAGTGACGGTAGCCGTTAAGTCTGCCACACTAGAGTCTAAGCTCTTAAAGCCAGACTCACTAAGAAAGGAGACTTTGAAAAGAAAGATTTCTTTTTTTTTTCTCTCTACTTTTAATTTTTGTCTGTAGTTTACGCGAGTAGTACACATTTAATTTTAAATAAAACAATGGTTTAAAACGTGAAATATATTAGTATTTTTTTTTTATTTAATTAACTACGTCCCGACATGTGTTATGGCTTTTTTTTATCTACTCTTTGTGAACTATAATATAAGCTTAAAGAATGGATTCCAAAAGTTAAGTTAAATTTAATCGTTACGAAACGTTTTATATCAATCTTGTTATAGCGCTTTCTAAAATTTGATTTCGAGTATCGTTCTATCCGCCAATTTGCTTTTTAACGAGCCCCGGTCCGATTTTGATGGCATTGACTTATGAATATTTACCAATGCAGTACTGTTATCTAATTCTGGCTAATTGCCTATTGGAAACAAGAAGCCTCCAAGTATACAACCTTAATTAATTCTGTATTAGCACATTTAGATAAAACACTCCCAACTGTTTAAAACGCGAAATGTTATTTACAAATGACACTCCTCGGCGTACCGGTAAACCGTCAATTCTGACCCAGCCAGTTTTGCCAAATATGATGGAACAGATGGCAATAGTAATTTTTACTTTAATATTGAGGACACCTCTCATCTCTAGTCCCCCGTGACCACGGTAGCTGCAGAGCATCCGAAACGTCGGGACGTAGTTAGGATAATTTCAAAATAAGTTTATAAAAGTAAATACAGCTAATCAATAAATTTCGCGTTTTAAACCGTGATGAGTGTTTTATTTAAATTGATTATTACAAAATGCGAATCACGATCCATTAATATACTGTTCGTAATTCTAACTAAATGTTAATTTAGTTATAAAATCAGTGCGAGTTCGAAAATAGTAAGTACTAATTTTCACTTATTTAGAAACTCACTATTTAACATGGATCGACAAGTTCACCTTCTGTCTGAGGTGACAAAAGTAACTAACTTATCTTATAACTAGTAACTAAGCATACTTACATTGTTTTCGTCGAATACTCGAAAGACTAGTGACGCAAATTTACTGGGGTCACCTTGAGGGAAAAACTGTTTGTAGATCTTTATGAAGCCCTAAAATAAAGTGGATAATATTAGGTATACAGTATATTTTTTATCTAATACGCGTCGTATTTGAATTCTTATTAATTAACTTTAGTATCCAGTTTATAAATTGAAACCGCCTTTTAAAGCAAACTTTTGTACTTGATGTATAAAGGAAATATAAAATGAAGGAATGATTAGTTTGCACCTTTGAAAAACCAATCGGTTTTATTTTAATTTTAACACTTTTATGCACTCCCCGATCGAAACGTCTTTTCTGTCCTCGGGATTGGAAACCCGGGCTTCAAATGTTGTAGCAACGCAAATGCTATCTTAAATGTTACCTAATAATATACCTGTTTTATATATATTTATATTATGAATGTACGTATAGTGTATTTTTTCTTACTTGGCATTTTTGGTAAAAAAACACTATTTACATGAAATCGTGATTTCTCACAAAGTTGACATTCACTCTTAAAACACTTTGAGATACTGGATAATATATTAAACTAATAAACTATTTTAAATTCACTAAATAAAAACGATGATTTCAGGATGGGATGTAAGCAAAGTAAACGACAATAGAAGGTAGAAGTCCCACCCATGAACGATCGCTGAAAATCGTTACAAACGTCGAGTTAAATAATAACATTCAAAATTTAAAAAATAAGTGGTCATAAAAGTTATTTTGAAAGTTCAGTCGTAGAGTAGTAGTATATTGGATATTTCTTTAACTTTGTATTATCTGTGGCAACGTTTACACTCTATAAAAGGCCGCACTAGTTCTCTATGGGTTGAAATCGGCCATATTTTGGTCTTTTCCTAAGTTAGAAAAAATACACTATATGTATAGTTATAGTACGGAAGCAATATACGCTCAGAGAATAAAACGCACCTGCTCTGTCAGTAAACCGTTGGGACAGTCCTTTAGAAATCCTTTGTGCCTGTAAAATTGACAATTGCTGTAGAAAAATCTTATTAAGCTTTATTTCCTATCGGATTGCGAGAACCAGCCAGCATGTTTCATATTTCCATTTAATTTCAAATATATCTATTTCATTCTTTTTTTGAATATCGAATAGATTTAAATATCGTAATTAAAATTAACTGTGTAGAATAATACGAGATATATTGAAAATTAAGTTTTGACATTAGTCAAAATGACCTAAAGATTAAATTTTAAAATGTAAATTAACCAATTGTATAGTTATAACTTTAAAATATTTAGAATTATCGTTATTCTGATGTCGAATCAGAACTTTAATATTTTCACATTGCACTTGATGGCTTGCTATAAATTAAAAATCGATATAATTGAAAAAAAAAAATACGACACAGCCATGACTGAACCTGTATCCATGGATTTCCGTGCTGTTGCTCTAACCAAATTAGTTACCGTGTAGTTCAATCTTACCCGTGTCGTAAAGCTTTTTCAATCTAAAATCGACATTTAATGTTGAATTTTAATGTCAAATGGCTTTTATTACCCGTACAATAGAAGTAAACACTTTTATGTTAGACTGTAGACGAATTTACCATAGGAAGGCCTAATTCATATTATCAAGGATAATTAATAACTTATTATTTCATCTATCACAACAATATAATGTAATACTGTCTATAGTTTACGCGAATAGTACACATTTATAATAAAACACTTTTATGGTTTAAAACGCGATATATTAGTTAAACTTATTAAGCCCGACGTTTCGGATGCTTTGCAGCAGGCGCAGAAAATAATTTTCAAATAAGTTTAACTAATATATCGCGTTTTAAACTGTTAAAGTATTTTATTTAAATATAATGTAATGTTCAAAGCTAAAATTTAAGTATTTTTTTGTTTGTTTTCAGAATGATAACATAATACCTACCACTAAATCTTGCTCGTTGAAATGCATTGCTACTAATCCACGGGTCTCGAATTCGTCCCACTAAATATTAATATAGTATGACTAGATTATTTCACGTTCCATCAAGTAAACTTCATGCTTGTGTTCTCTGATATAAAGAAACGCAACCTCCAATCAAGTGTGTACGTAAAGGACAAACAAAGCTGCGTCATACCAAATCCAGATTGTGCTTTACTTACCAAAGCCGAATCTCCTTTTCCGTAACTGAAACAATGAAATATTTTTATTAACTTGTCGTAGTCTTTTAATATTGTTAGATTAATCCGATAAGTTGGAAATCCTTTCCTTTATCCTGAAGAAGATGAGATTGATTTGAAATTGGAACGAGGGTAAAAACTTAACCAATATTTGAAAATTGCGCGTAATATTAAAGTAGTATGAACGTTAATCTATACTAATATATAAAGCTGACGAGTTTGTTGGTTTGAATGCGCTAATCTCAGGAACTACTGGCACGAATTGAAAAATTATTATTGTGTTGGTTAGAGCATTTAGAGGAAGGCTATAGGGTATATACCATGTGATGTGAAAACTTGGGAAAATTATTCATTATTATGGGTTTTCGTGGCGGAGTACACTGCAAAAACGGCTCAAGATACCCAAAAATATGTATGAAAGAATTCGCTATTCCATTTTTAAATGGTTAGCTTTTTCATTACTTTTAGAAAAACTTTAGCTCTCAGTTTATGAAATTCAACTTTTATACTCTAGATATCTTAAATATTGTCTGTAGTTGACGCGACTGGAACATATTTAAATTATAAACTTTAACGGTTTAAAACGCGATAGTTTGTAAACAAGATTAATTACAAATTATTTTTAACTAAGTCTAACGGCCCGACGTTTCTGATGCTTTGCAGCAGCTCTGGCCACGAGGAAACCGTGGTCTACGTATCATTCTCATAAGGGAATCATAAGTTCGTAAACAAATTGATTACATTTGTAATTTTAATTTTATCATGCACCGCTTCAACATCTTTTGCGTATCCTTAAATCAACACAAATGTTCTATTAAACAAACAATCTTCTTCATTTATTGTACAGTTAGTTAAAGTAGTTCAGTAAAATGTTCACGCAATATCGACTTTGGATCTATGTAAAACGAAAGAAATCTTCAAAACGAACACTTAAGCCGCTCTGTCGTTAATCTATTTGTTTTCGCAAGTTGCAAAACTCAAATTGGTTAAAGCATAAAGTTATAAACCGCAGTAAGACAGCTCAGCTAAGTTAACCACTAAAAACTTCTCCGTGGTATTAAGCGTTTATGCTTAACCTCTTGAGTTTAATTCATCACTGTTGTATGGAATGTACTGGATGGATCCCTAGCTTGAAATGCTTATTAACAAATTACCTTTAAAGTCAAAATCTACAACACTATTTAGCTAGTATTTTTCGTTACCCTACGCGGCTATGTTCTGAACGCAATGTCTGACACTGTGTTATTACGAGAGGCTAGGTTACGTTTAAACCCGGATAATAAATAGTTTCGTTACTCGTTTGTAAGTTTAATTTGTCGAGTGGTGCAAGTATCAATACGTTGACGTGTTGGGCACGGTAGCTCTGTTGGTTAGAGTTATTGGTTAAAACACGGAACGCTGTGAATGCCGATTCAAGTGTTTCAAGAGTTTTGTTTTTTAATTTATAATCGATTTACATTAAATAATCGATTATAATAATAAAATTATAGTGCTATCATGTGCAATAATATGTGAACAATGTTAAAGTTTTCAAGTTTAATACATTAAAACAGATACATAAATAGGCTAGACGGGATTAAATATTATCTTGTAGTAAGGAAAATGTAACAGTGAATTAAAAAATTTTAGACTTAAACATGAAGTAGGCGCTTCACTAATTTTTCCATTTTTACGATAAGTTCGTCTTTTAAAATATTCAAATTGATTTTAAAACCGGAAGCGTTCCGAATAGCTAACTCGCGCTTTATGCTAATCTGTCAAACCTTATTATATCACAGATAAGTTTTATATAAAGCCTTATCTTAGTAAACATCTGTGCAGTTTTAATCTAACGATAGTATGGCTTGGTTATCTGTGGTTTTTGGTCTCTCGGTTAGTAATCAACAAATTAGTCATTCCTTAAGTTCTTATTTCAAATTAAGCTTTTAAGTGTTAAAGTTATTTTTGTATTGTAGGTGGTGACATCTGTATACAGTGGATCGAATGGCTATTTCTATCCGAAACCTGGTGTAGCTTTTGAATACTCAAACCCAATTCAGTCTGGACAGATTTTTCAAAAAACAGTATCATTTTCTGTCTCCGATGAATACAATTCAGATTCACAAAATGTTGGTGGCGAAAACGCGTTAAATCTTCAAGTATCCGATGGAAATTTTAAAGTGCAAAGTTATCAATACAATCCACAAAGTGAAGAGAATGTATCTTACAAAAATGTATATAACACATTTAATTTCGATAACAATGATCTGCTAGACAACCGGCAGGTGGATTCGCAACCTGTACAAAACCCAGTGAGCACGCTTAACGCGAACCAAGACGCAGTAAGACAAGAACAATCTCGTTTGATTGATGAACGGAATTTAAGCTCGTTACGTACACCAGTGGTAACAAAACATATATACTTCCACGTCCCACCCACAGATACTGAAGAATACGTACGTGTAACACCACCGCAGCCAAGGAAGGCATATAAGATTTTATTCATAACGTTACCGACACAAAAACAAAACACGATCGCGAACCGGAAAGAGGAAAAGACCCTCATATACGTGCTAGTTCAGAAACCTGAAGATGGACACTTTCTTCAACAGCCTCCGAAATTGTCAGAGCACGAAGTGGTCTTCGTGAAGTATAGAGGTAGGCCGTCCTTGGGCAGGGAGCAACTCGGGCAAGTCGTTGAAATTCCAAGGCGAAATGCTCAACCCAATTCGCAAGGGCAGGGCTATTAAATATGCAGAGCTAAGCTAGCGAATAAGTTTTCCTGCTGTTGTAAGTAGAAAACTCATTTTTGTGTCCGTCTGTCTGTCTACTGATGGATTTTAATTTAACAAACCTGGATGAGCCGTCTTCTATTTACAATCACGCTTAGAACCCACCAAACCACAAACAAAAGCATAATGTATAGCTCAGTACCAAAGTATGAAGCTAGCATGGTCCTGAGTTCAAACTCTCAATAAATGTATTACCATGTTGTAGTAACAATATTGATCGACATATATTACCTAAGTGTATGTATTGATTAAATAAGAAGAAAACTCTTTACGTCTTTGAACTCCGGAATTTTTCATTTTCTTTCCTATTTTTGTTGACTTCAATTGAATATTAAGCGTTGCGATTTCTTTTGCTGTGAAATAAGTAAAGGTCAAGTAACGTCGGTAGTTTACGCGAGTAGTGCACATATAAATAAAATACTTTTGACGGTTTAAACCGCGATATGTATTTTGAAAACGAAACTTCGGGTAGTTAAAATAAATTAATAAATTTCGTAATTTAAATTGTAAAAGTGTTTTATTTATATTGGTAAAATGTTATTGTTTTAGCATAGTTAACTGAGGCTTACATTCCTCTATAAGTCTTTAACCAATCTATAAATTTCGTTATAAAAAACCTTTCGCTAAGCTTTGTGTTTTATTAGCAATTATATATTTTTGATATCATCAACGAATATATACCATTTTGGTGCATGGCCGGGATATGAGTTCCGTACGTCACGATTCTGTGCTCGTACCGCTAGGCCAAAGCTCTCAGACTAAGTTAACATAACATTATATAATTCAGCAATAAAATATAACTCTCTCGGCAGTTTTGGGGTTGCGATATATCAACTTTCTTCGTCCGACAAAATATTGAGTACGTAACATATTACGAGAGGATGTCACGATAACTCACGCAGATATTACGTAACGCGATGTATTGTTGCGTACGCATTTTTTAAATATACGACGAATGAGGTTTTACATACAATCTAAACTCTTCGAAACATTATCTATGTATACTAATATATAAAGCTGAAGAGTTTGTTTGTTTGAACGCGCTAATCTCGGGATAGTGTTTCGAATTAAAAAAATTCTTTTTGAGTTAGAGCATTTATTGAGGAAGTTTATGGGCTATAAAATATTGCGCCGTGACGAATAGTTGTAAAGAAATATATTGGAAAATGTGTAAAAATAGAGAAAATTATTCATGGCTGTGAGTTTGCGGTGTGCACGCTGCAAAAACGGTTCAATATAAGCAACAAATTTGGCAAATATAATGATTCCTCTTTAAATGATGTAAAAAAATGGCCGAGACACTATAATATGTCTTTCTTTCAAGATTAACTCAAGAACGGCGGGAAGGGACGAACGTCGTAGGTTATAGTTTGAATTTATAAAAATGAGAGGAGCAAAAACAATTTTCGATGCCGAAAATAACTTATCTACGCGAGCGAAGTCGCTGACACGGCTAGTGTATTTATTTATTAAAATCAGTATGAGTCAAAACATGAAAGAGGTATATGAACACTATTGTTTTTATCAGTAGCACAAAAGGTCGGTTAATTGACACTTGGCTACGCGAGGGCTGTAAATGTAATCAGTTGATAACAAACACTGAAAATAGATCCATTCTATCGTATCGGCACAGTGATTCGTATCCGTTCCCCCGACAGGCTCGATCTGAACGGATAAAGCTTACGTCCGGCGTGCTAAAGGCCAACCGGTGACCTACTGATGGGGCACAGTTTATTGCGAACAGTTGGGTATTATGTATGTTGATAAAGTAAATAAAGTTGATAAAGACGAGGAAGTTTGCAAAAACAAATTTTGAAGCTCGAAATAACTATTCCATGCGGACAAAGTCGCTGGCACAGCTAGTCTAGTATAACGTAACGTAAGGTCTAAGAGATATTCTACAATTTGTTTTGGAAGAAGAATTTCCTCTACCCTATTCTATTTTTATTAAACTAGAATTCTACATAAAATGTTGTAAAGTTGACGTTTTTACAATAACTATTTGAAACTATATTCAATTCGGATTCCAATTTACTAAATGAAATATTCATAGAGTTTTTATGCGTGAAAATCGATGTTTACTTAGTTTTCGAATCGTAGTTTCAATAGTAATTTCGATGTAAAGGTAGGTTTTAACACGACAAAATAACCTTTTAGTCTTAAAATAAAATACTTTAACGGTTTAAAACGCGATATATTAGTTGATTAATGATTTTTAAGGTCGATTTTTAACGATTTCAAATAAGTTTAACTAAAATATCGCGTTTTAAGCCGTTAAAGTGTTTTATTTAAATGTGTACTACCCGCGTAAAGTATAGACAGTATTTAATCTTTTAGTACATTAAACTTCTTTATATCAATTATAAACAGTTTATAACAATAAAACACTGAACGGTTAAAAACGCGATATATATCAAATATATTTGGATGCTTGGTGACCAGGGCTGCAAAGCATCCGAAACGCTGGGACGTAGTTCAAATAGTTTTGAAAGTAGTTTATGTGATATATATCGCGTTTTAAACCGTTAAAGTATTTTATTTAAATAAAATACACCTTCTGAATAAGATATTATTTACGTTAGGGATTTTGAACATATATACATTTAAATAAAACACTTTAACGGTTTAAAACGTGATATATTAGTTAAACTTATTTGAAAATGATTATTAACTTCGGCCCGACATCAATTCTGTAAGGACCCGGCCAGTTTCGCCAAATACCAACTTCGACGGAACAGATGGCGCTAGCGTAGCAATATTTTACTTTGACGTGAGAGACATCCTCCATCTTTAGTCTCCCCGTGACCACGGCTGCTGCAAAGCATCCGAAACGTCGGGCCGAAGTTAAATCATTTTCAAATAAGTTTAACCAATATATCGCGTTTTAAACCGTTAAAGTGTTTTATTTAAATGTGTACTACTCGCGTAAACTATAGACAGTATATATACATTTCCCAGATTAAGTCATGTATACATGAAAATTAAATTGATAGAAGGTGAAATCCATCAGCGATATAACCCAAATAAGATCAAGACCAGTTGGGCTGTCCATCTTTGGTTTTGGAGATTCTGAGATCCACAGACTGCAACCGGAACCCGATTAAACTACACGGCTGTTTATCTGCGCAGTGGTACGTGAACTGGATGTTAATTTTTTTTTCTACCACCAATTTAACAGACTTTCAGATATGTTTTAGAATTACCAATATATTGGAAATATGTTGGTTCCGGTTAGATTCGATCCACGACCCGTTGATTAGCCAGAGACCGGCGACCCTGTTTGAAGCGAATTCGATTTAACATATTTCTCCAACAATTTCTCTCTGTTAACGATCTTTCAACGCCACAAAGCTTTTTGTTTTCAACGTCAGTAATTTTTAATTATACTAGAACAATGGCTCGGTACGTTTCCTTTGCGTAGCGAAAATCGGCCACCTCGACGGGCGAGTGTTAATAATAATGCATAAAAAAAATTGTAGGTAAGCTACAAATTTTCCTGTGTGAAAAAAAAAACACGATTGTCATTTGTTTCGCCTGCAACAAAAATTCATTGAATAACAGCCTAATATTAACTAACTGAGCGTCATTTCAAACTCTATGTGAAGGCAGACACAGATTTGCGTCTTTTTCATTGATCGATTGCATGAAGATGAGCAATTGAATTGCGAAAAAGGGGATTTAGTTAAAACCCCACTTGGGGCATTGGGAAGTTGTGTTTCTGTGTCGATTTTATTTATGTTTTTTAGCTAGTGTGCCCTGCCCGTTTGAAACGAAGAATATAGAAGCTATGATCGTAAATTTAACAATTGATCAATAACGTTACTAATACATAAAGCTAAGGAGTTTGTTTGTTTGTTTGAATGCGCTAATATCAGGAACCACCGGTTAGACTTGGTTAGACCATTAATTATCAAGGAAGGTGTTAGGCTATATAACAGCTGCTATGAGCAATATAAGCTAAGAAACAGAGCCTTCGTTGTGTGCGCTACAAAGTGTTGAGGACACGAAAAAATATGTATAAAAGAATGACCGTTCTTTAAATGCTAAAAACATATCCGCAACAATATTTGTCGCTATAATTTATAAAGCAGAGGGGGTTTGCAAAAATAAATAATATGATGCCCATATTAACTATTCCACGCGAAGTCGCGGGCACAGCTAGTTCACATATAACTCTAATAAAAACTGACCCATTAAGGATAAACTGGCTAAATTAAACTGTGAATAGTCCTGCTATCGTTAGAAATGCCTTCACTGGCTGTGGAAAGTTCTGACGGATTTAATTTGCATTGGGTCACTAACTTAATCCAGCGTTACTTATTGGAACTCGATTTAGCACGTTCAAAGAGACTGAAATAATACTTTATTTAAATCAGTTAATAGATTCCTTGTGTTTAACTGGAGTAGACAGTTGAGAAATATAGCCTGTGGTCTATGTGGCATATATATATATCAGAAATAAATACTTTTTAACGGTTTTAAACCCGCAGTATTAGTTAATTTATTTTTTAATTTAACTACACCTCGAATTTTTTTTCATGTTAAACATAAATTTTGCCGGACAAACCGTACAGTGGTTTATTTATGCCCCGAATCACTGGTTACTATATAACTTAATATTTAAAATAAATTCCAGAATATAACTGTAACCTAAATTAACTAATTAACATCAGTTCCGGTGCTTTGCGGGCGTGGTCACGAGGTGACTAAAATATCAAAGATATATCTAAATATTATTAATAAGTCACTGAGCATGTGTGTATCTAAAGGTTTTACATTTTTTTTAATATCTTGTAATACTAAGGAAGGTTTAGTGTAAAGGAGATCTCTCAAGCTCCTAACGAAGTGCGCGCCTAGTACTAAGACTCTGCGTGACGTAAACAAGAGCTTGTACGCCCTAAAATCTCTCTAGAGATCTTGATAATTTCTTACGTCCCGGTACCGGAAATGGCTTTTCAAGGGAGCCGAAAATATCAGGCATTCCTACCAGGACATGATGTAATAGGAGGAATTCTCTTCTAAAGGAGATCTCTCAAGCTCCTAACGAAGTGCGCACGTAGTACTAAGACTCTGCGTGACGTAAACAAGAGCTTGTACGCCCTAAAATCTCTCTAGAGATCTTGATAATTTCTTACGTTCTGGTACCGGAAAAGGCTTTTCAAGGGAGACGAAAATATCAGGCATTCCTACCAGGACATGATGTAACAGGAGGAATTCTTTTTTAAAGGAGATCTCTCAAGCTCCTTACGTAGTGCGTGCCTAGTACTAGGACTCTGCATCACATAGAAAAGAGCTAGTAGGCCCTAGAATGTGTCTAAAGCTCTTAAATATTTTATTTTTATGAACGTCAAATAACTCCGCGCGCACAAATTGCTAATCATTTGTATGAGGCGCATATTAGACACAGGCTGTGTGTCTGTTCTACGGACACCTGTATAACTGGGGTAACGGGTAATGGAGTCATGAGCCTTGAGCTGTTTCCAGGACTTAGGTGGACCGCTAATTGAACACTTAGATTTTATATACAATTTCTTGGGTTAGATTATCAGGTGTTTTACTTTACTTCTATCTATTGTTATCAAAAATAAATTAAATGATCTTGACTTGATTACGTGACCCCCTCCTGGTGCCAAAGCTGGATCGGCCATTGTCTACGGAACACTAAATAAACATGAAAAATATAAATCCACTCCGCAGTTCCATTATTGACAGAGAAATTTTAAATTTATTATTTAAACGTAACCTTAATATTTACTATATTATCCACCAGGCACTTTCTTGGACAAGCGTATCTGTCCGTGACACACGAGATAGATGTACAAATGAGGATAAGTTATGGAAATGCCGTTTTCAAATTTAAAAAATTGTTTTTACTGATTTAAGTTTTAAATTTCACATTTAGACTATATTCAATTTTCAATACAAGTGCGTATATGCTTAATTTCTTATTATATTTTCAGTTAACACTAAAGGAAATAAAACAATAACATTTGGTTTTCGTAAAAGCGAATCTATCAAACATCCGTAAATGTTTGGTAAACAATTGAACAATTATCAATTTTCCAGACGGCTCACTTGTATTTTTACGGTCTTGGCGATGACAGTATGGGTGGTAAACTGGATAGTAGGGTAAGTTTTTTTATCTCTTAGTTTCTCGAATCTTCTTTATCGTAGGTCCTGGTCTCAAATCCCAAATATAATGATAACCACAGTATGTTTGCCCCTTGTACCGCGTATGAAAACCGACATATAAGATTAATATGGTCAAATTTTACTAATTTCAAAAATATTAGAGTTTTTAAATAAAATACTTTAACGGTTTAAAACGCGATATATATTAGTTAACCTTTATTTTCTTTATAAACGTTTCGGATGCCTTGCCGTGCAAAGCATCAGGAACGTCGGACGCTAGTTAAAATAATTTTCAAATAAGTTTAACTAATATACATCGCGTTTTAAACAGTTAATGTGTTTATTTAGATGTGTACTGTGTTAACTACAGCCAGTATTTAGTATCAGAGTTTGTATGTTTACTTTTTTAGTATGATAAATATTTTAACATCACAGAAAACGGAATCTTATTATTAGAACCTATTTTTTTTTCTTAGAAACAAAGTCAAAGAATTATTCAACGTCGCTACAGAACTATTAAATATTTTTCTTATACTTTTCGCAGTGAATGCCTACTGCGCCGTATAAAGATAATTGCCATATTTCAATTTTATATGCTCCACGTTCATATTTGTTAGTTGAAGAGTTGCCATTACTTACAAATCAAGCGATTTATGTGAAAACTTTTCTTTATCATGGTAATATTTATTATCTGTGTTTTTTTTTTATTTATAACTGTTAGTGTTGGACCGAAATTTGGTTTAAACGATTTTTTACTCGTCGAATTGCGCATAACATTCGGTTCAAAATAGCAAAACTTATGACATTAATTATTTCAGTTCTTAAATAAAACTTAAATACTGTCTGCAGTTAACTCTTCGTACAAACGCTAAAATGAGATATGTAGAATTAAGTTAATTTTCTCTTTAATTAATTCGAGTGACACTTCCTAAACAAGTTCAGATAACAAAACGTAAATTGCGTATGCTCAACAAATTGTTATGTTATTATCTGATCCCATTAGGAATTTGGATTTGCAAAGTGGCATTATTCTTCAATTTAGGATCGATGTTGATTTACAAATGGGAATGACGTTTTATTTCAGAATCTTCTCGTGTTTTTGGCAGTGACTGCTGTAAACAGTTTACCAATATACAACGGATTCAGCGTGAAATTCACTCCCACGGTAAATAAAGAGGAGAAACCAAAAACGTTCGGGGCGCTCTTCGCGAAAATACCCCAAGAACTACCACGACACGAACAAGAAGCGCTATCCCAAGCGATATTCTCAAACGTCGGCCTCCTAGGATCCGGATGCAGCAATCAAATAGCAAGAATCCTGCACTCACCAAAAACAGTAGAAAATGACGCTAATAATGGTACTTCATGGACAAAATTTATCAACATACCTATTATCAAGCAACCGATTGATGATTATAAGATCCTAATCGCTGCCGCTCCGCCCAGTGTTTATATCGATAAGACTGACAATAAACCCTTGCTTGTGTATATAGTGTTTCCCAATGATGATAAGCACGACAATTTTAAAATTCCCAGTATCTACTTCGTACATGAAGCAAAAGGACATATTGATGTTCATAGAAAGAAGCTAGATCCTGTTATAATAGTTGACCACAATAGGACTGTGACGAAATTGAAAAGTAAGGAGATCGCCAAGTTTGTTAAATTTAGGAGTAAAATGATGAATCATTTTAATAGTAAGTCAAATAAATGATAAGTATACGTTATTAATTTTTTATTAACTAATAATGCCTAGAAATACATAAGTAAGACATCTTTGGTTCGAATACCAAAGAAAAAGGAGATTTGATGGGGCGCAGAATGCTAATCATACATTCCTGTACATGCGTAAAAATAGAGGATCCTTTACTGAACTGAATTAAAATTAAATTTCCTAACTTGTTTAAAATAGGTATAGAAAGAAGGATTTAGACTTCAAATGAACTTTATCGAGTCAATGAGAAACTAAAATGTTATACTCAGAGTAAAATCAGAAACACTTATCAAATTTATTATTTATCCATACTTTATTGGACAAATATAAAATAAAAACCCTAAATTCTAGAAAATAGTGCATACCATTAATTTAAAACCAATATAAGTTCAGTGAGAATTATAATTTGTAATTTTGTAAATTACATTAAAATCGTAACCAAGGATGTGTCTAAAAATAATCAATAGTTTTATCTCATTTAATTTTTGCGTATATTTACTAATCATACTCTAAATAATTTTACTTTTGGACCTTACCTTCTCTAGCTAGACTTTTACAAGTCCGAATAAAACGGTATATTCACGTCTAACAAACGCCTGTGAATAAAGACCATCAACGTTCTTATCTGTCTGAAGTTTGCTCACTCTCTTCATGTTTTTGTATGGCATAGTCAAAATTTATGAGTTTTCCGACGTTACAATCGTCGGAAAGCGCCAAGGCGGACGGGTTTGCATAACGCCTGTAGCGATCCACTTTGCTACTTTGTGTCAGATTTTTTAAGTCTAAGCTATCTATGGAAATACAAATTCTATTATTAAACTCTTTAATAACGGAAACATGACAGACTATTGCTACAATTTAATAATAAAATGAACACGAAAATTAATTGAATTGAGGCAACACAACAACAGTCTTGGTTTGCCAGGGCTTGAAAGTCTGATTAAGTAAGTACATAATATTGATGACAGCCACAGAAATGTGCACTTAATGCCTTGAGGGAAAGGGGCTATTTTTGTAATCATAAGTTTTTCAGCGCCTATTAAAAAAAAGAGATAATAAGCCGCGTAATAACTACGGTATTATAGAAGGATATTATCACGGGGAAAACAGATTTACTTCCTGTCGGCTGCTGCAAAGCATCCGAAACAGCGGTACTTAAAATGATTTCCAAATAACTTCAACTAATATAGATCGCGTTTTAAACTGTTGAAGTGTTTTATTTAAACATAGCATAGTTGTGCGAGAGGTGATTTTTTTAAGTATAAACTTGAACGCTACGTTGTTAGTAGTAGTTTTTTGGCCTTGTTAATATTCTTATTTCAATTTTAAAATACATAATAGTGGCTGTTCTTTTGTGGCTCAGCTAATTCTCGTTTAAAGAAGAATTCTCGTTCGAAGAAAGCGTTTTTTGATTTCAAGTCGTTCGTATTGTATAGTGAGCAATTGATTCGAGAGTCGCCTCAAATACTGTCTCGATCAAAAGAATTGAGTAATTCGACTCGATCACTCAAGTTTCATTCTTATACAGAAGGCAATAATAAATCAGAAAAAAAAACAATTTATTAATACTTAACTGTTTAAAACGCGAATTATATTAGTTAACTTATGAATAATTTATTTTAACTACGACTTCTGATGTTGTGGCTACGGGGATTGTGCGTTTTAAACCGTTAAAAGTATTTTATTTAAATTTGTACTACACTACTAAACCAAATTTATCTTTTAAATGTATATAAATATTAAGTTAAGATAATTATTAACTACATTCCAAATGAATAAAAATTTTTTTTTTATAATTTGCTATAAAGAAAATCAAAGTAATAATTTATGTAAAATTGGGACTCGTCTTCTTATCCAGGCCGATTGTAGATGTAATCTATTTTCGATTCCAGAACATGTAATGTACACCGAGCCATACAAACCGGAAAGCTCGAATGTTTTTTTTATGTCAGGACCGAGCATCGAACTTCCGACCTTAAGATTAGAAATTCGTAACATCTATACGCTCAATGCTGTCTATAGTTCACGAGAGTAGTACACATTTAAATAAAAGACTTTTTATCTAGATTTAACGGTTTAAAACACGATATATATTATAGCATCAAGTTATCAAACACCTGGGATCCCATATTATACACTCTGGATAAGAAAAAATGAACTTACTGGCAAACACGAAGACACCGTTAGTCAATTCTACAAGAACCCGGCCAGTTTCGCCAAATACCAACTTCGATGGAACAGATGGCGCTAGCGTAGTTTTTTACTGTGACGTCAGAGACATCCCTTCATGTTTAGTCTCCCCATTAGCAGGACTGTTGCAAAGCATCCGAAACGTCGGGCCGTAGTTGAAGTAATTTTTCATTGAGCTCAAAGAGCTAATGAGCAGACAATTGAAGGTAAAATTCGACCATCAATCTATCTACCTCTCTTTTCAGACGATTTGGTCTTATGGCACCAAATGGATGATTAAGCTCTTTCTAATAAACCTAAGTTATATTGATTCCGAGAGGATTCCAACGAGTTCGGCACTTAAGCGTGGATGAATCAGCGAATGTGACCGTGTTTTAGGGTTGGCGGGGCAAAAATCAAACATCAATTGGTCTCACTAAACCAGTAGAAATGGATGCTGCTAAAATTCTGGCAAACCTCCATAAAAGTAATTTGAATAGTTATTGGTGCATGGTTAAAAGGATCGCTTGAAAACAATATTATAAAACACTCTGTAGTTTACGCGAGTAGTACACAATGAAATAAAACAATTTAACGGTTTAAAACGCGATATGTGTTAGTTTTTATTTGAAAATTCTCCCCGTGACCACGGCTGCTGCAAAGCATCCGAAACGTCGGGCCGGAGGTAAAATTATTTCCCAATGAGTTCAACTAATATATATCGCGTTTTAAACCGTTAAAGTGTTTATTTAAATATTATATCTTTTTTTAATATAGCTTTAAACATTATAATAGTGAAATATTAACGAGATATTGTTTATTAAAATTAGAAAGTATTAACGCGTCGAGAAGACCACATTTGAGAGGACTCAAAAGAAACAAATATATCTAAAGATAGTATGAAGTGAAGGTTAGTACGTACGTAAAAATTCATACTAACTTAACCGCAATCTAATGTTACTAACCACTAGAATAAATAAGTGTGTCTACTTTAGATCACGAGTTTCGAACCGCGGTTTGAATCCAGGGCCGGAATAGTCCTCACTGCAGTACTATTCTTAGAAAACTTGGAAAGGCTTAAACCGCGATCCACAGCGTTGTTGGTCTAACTAATTGAGCACGGAATACTGTGGACGCTGGTTCAAGTTCCGACCGTGCCATTCTTTCGATCTTAATATTATGTGCAATAACGAAAATATTCGTTTTCAAAGACTGTGTCAGTTCAAAAACTTCTCCTGATAGATGAGATTTACCAAGCACTGGGACAGAAGACGATTGAAACAATATACTAACGAGAACAATCGTCATTTTCAGTACGTATGACAGATGACGGATAAGCTTGGGGGTTGATGATAGGTGAAATATTCCAGCTATATAACATCAAAACAAGATACGTTGTCGATCTAATTTGGCTTTCGATATCTCCGACTTCGTTTATCTATACTAATATATAAAGCTGAAGAGTTCTTCTTTGTTTGTGTGAACGCGCTAATCTCAGAAACTACTGGTTCGAATTTAATTAGTTTTGTGTTAATTACAGCAATTATCGAGGAAGCCTTTAGGCTATAAAACGTCACAAAGCGATTAATAGGAGCGAAGATAGCCTGGGAAACGTGGACAATTCGTACGATGTGAAAACGATTCAAGTTACTCAACGAATATGTTTGAAAGAATGATTTCTCTTTAAATGATCTAGAAATCTCCACAACTCTATATGTCAATCTTTTAAGATAAGCTTGCAAAAACAACGGGACGCTGTTTGTAAAAACAAAAATTGATGCCCAACGCAGACGAAGTCGCTGGCACAGCGAGAGTATCTATACAAATGTTATCGTTGACCTATTTTATTGGACGAGTACAAACCTAGATAGCGTAAGCTATTAATTAAGACTTACGCTACTTTGCGATAATTAATTTGGAATTAGGCAGCGCTAGAGAAGATATTGACGATCAACGAAATTGGTTCTAGGTTTAGGTAGTAGTTTCTCTTTTATTATATTTATATACACTTATAATAGAACATAATTTAATATTTCTTACATGTTTGAAAACATTAATATTTTTCACATATTGCACATGAAGGCACTATATAATTTTAAAAATCGAAAATAAATTGAACAAATTTTCGACTCGGGCAGGACTTGAACCGGCATCGTCACCTTTCAGAGCAACAGCACGGAAAGCTGACGATGCCGGTTCAAGTTCTGCCCGAGTTGAAAACAAATTAACCTAATTGCCCTACAATATATTCTAACGTGCTAGGCTATTTCGGCTTGTTTAACCAATTCCATCGTCTAAGCACGTAGGAGCCACATTTATACTAATATATAAAAGTGAAGAGTTTTTTTTGTATGTTTGAAGGCGCTAATAACAAAATAGTTCAAGATACCAAAACATAAGTAGAAATACGCGACGCTATATGTCTATCTTGTAAGATTAACTTGCAAGAACGACGGGACGGATGCGATCGACGTCGTGGTTAACAGCTTAAGTTTATTAAGGTGGAGGAGTTTACAAAAACGAATGTGGATTTGAAATAACGGTTCTCGCGGACGAAGTCGCTGACACAGCAGCTAACCAATATAAGCCAGGTTTTACATACTTCACTATCATCAAATAGATTAACATGAGCGTAAAAGATTAGAATGAAACAGTTTAACGCTTTAAAACTCGAAAAATACGACGTTTCCGATGATTTGCATTCTGAGAGATTTCCGTAGTCACGTGGAGACAAAAGAGGGTCTGTTAAAGTAAAAACCCTTCCTTTAGGCCATCTGTTGGGTCGTAGTCGGTATTTGGAAACTGGCCGAGTCATTGCAACTTTAGCAAAC